GACGCCAGAACGGCGCTGGCTCGCCATCGCGGCGCCATGTGGCCCGCGGTCACCGATTGCGTTGAAAAGTGGCGACGACAGGTAGGTATCTCCATTAATACTAACATTTTAGGAAATATTTTAAAACACTTTAACTAACACTACAAATTTTTTTCCAGACTGAAGCGTTAGGTCTAGGAAGTGAAAGTCGTTTGCGAGGACACGTATGGGGTTCACCGACTGGTGTGGAGGACGACGCGGTTCCGACGATCGACCGCTCACACCGCTATCGCGGTAATCTCATAAAGAAACCAAACTAGTACTTTATCATTGACCCGCCGTCTCGTCTCATTTACATCATCATAACCTTCACATTTAAATTTCAGCCGAAGAAAGTTCAGATGAGTATGAAATCAGCCCAGCCTTGATACAAGACGACGACTGGATGTATTTACCTCTAGAAACCGTCAATAACAGTTTTTATGAAAATCCTCCTACCAAAGAACAGGTAGACTCCATTAACCCCGAAACAGAAGACATAGCACAAAAGTTAAAATCACTCCTAATACAAGCTGGAATTCCAAATATAAATGAGCAGCTGCTATTGAAAGGTTTATTGGCGAATCAGAGAAATACTGAAACGGATACCCACACAAACCCACAAAATACCGACAATAATCTAAAACAAAATTCTAACGACTTTCTTCAATCAGAAAACGATTTCATAGATGCCTATAATGCTTTAACTAGATTAAGTCCATTACCTAACATAAGTAAAGCAAATGAGATAGTACACACTGAACAGAATTCTAATAAAATTAATAATAAAGATAGTGAAATTAATTCGTCAGAACAAGTAAACACGCACGATCCTAGTGAAAATAAGACACTAGAAAATAACACAAATTCTATACCATCATCGGAACAAAGTTTAAAAGCACCTCAAACACAAAGTTCGACTAAAGAGAGTCAAAATAATTCTGTTGATAGAATTCCACAACATAAACCTGATACTAAATCCAATTCTCAGTCTAAAGTAAAAAGGTCGAAATCACCGAAAAGAATAACTGCAAAACAAAATCAGCGGGTCAAAAAAAAGCTGGAATCTAGTGACAGTGAATCGCGTGAAGATGAAGAAAAGAGAAACAATTTAAGTGACATGGTAGACAATACACAGAGATTAATACAGCAAATGAAAAATGAACTAAATACCGATATGAACTCACTCGACAGCCGAAGTAACAGTAGAAGCGAGAATAACTTGAGCGCTAATGATTCCGAATTATCATCAGAGAAAGAGTCTTCATATGATGAAAGATCAGAAAGTGAATCGGAAGACATATCTTCTGATGAAAGTGAAGGTGTAACATCTAATACCGAAAACAATAATTTGGCGAAGACTGCAACGGTTACGCGAACGAGTTCTGAGGACAATGAGCAATTTGAAGAGGCTATCGACCATTTAGACATTGAAATTGAAAATCCAATTCCAGTAAATGATAATTTAGGACACCAACACTTAGAATTTCAACAGAGGAACATAGAAATTTTAGATTCAATAGCTAAAAGTTTGCAGGAAGAATATTCATCAATGAGAGAGGAACAAATAAATATGCCCCGAAATGACCATGAAGATTTTAACAATAACCTATTCAATACTGTAAATTCATTTGAAGAAATTTATGAACAACTTACGGAAAAAAATACTTCAACAAAAGTTAATATAGAACAACCCACCAAATCATCAGAAAATAATAAAGCTGCTTATTATTCCGTAATTCAGAATCCTAAGCATAACAAACAAGAAGTGAAGTTTGTTACGTACAATCCACAAACAGCGAATACATACTTGCTATCAGAAAGTACTATAATGTTACATAATGCAATTATTGAAGATGTTAATAACGAAATAGTGATCGAGTCCAATGATTCATTAGATAGCATCGGCACTAGTAATTTAATAGTTTCAAATGAACATCAATCTGAAGACAATTCTATGGGACCTAATATACCAAGAGATAATAATATTACAATGAACAATAACTTAAAAGATTCTGAAATTTCTACAGAGAGTGTTGTAAATTCCACTATATCTGTAAATAACGCAAGCACATCTACTCCGACAAGTAATGTATCTACCGTAACCGAGAACGATGAAGAAGACCAGAAAACCGATATTAATTCAAACATTCAAGAAAACAGTGCAGCAACAGATAAAGTAAGTCCAAAAGAAAATATGGTGGATGATTCTGAAAACACAACGATTGATGACAAAAATGCATCAAATCCAAATCCTAACAAAGGAAGTTTGCAAGTCAAGAGCTCATCAAATAAAAGTATTTTTAACAAATCTAACATACCTAAATTAGTAAAAGCATTGCAAAATAATAAACTAAAAGTTGAAAAAACTACTCCAAAAGTTTTAGGCTCGAAAGTACCAATACGACGTACGTCACTTAAACACTATCCTGCACCAGCCCCTCCAAACGGACATTTCGGTAATGTTCAGAATGGAAATGTAAAACAGCTGCAAAGTAAATTATTAAATAACAAAGTACAGAACTCAACAAACGTGTCAACGGAGGTAGAAGTGAAGCCATCAACATCATTCTCGTCCACCCTTAGTAAGAAAAAACCTGCTCCGTTACCACCAACATCGGTGGAACGTAAACTTGAAACACCCACAGAAGATGTGCAGGATAAGGAAAAGAAACATTATTTCCGTGAAACTTGCCGCACAGAAGACGAGTGGACGGACAGTGACGATGACGAGTGTCAAATGCCCCTTACAAGAGAAAACAACGAACCAGAACCGGTTCCCGTATCACCACCTCCACCTATTACAATGCGCCGAGTGTCAGGGCAATTAGTGGACTTGGCTGCCATTCGGCTACCTGAAGGTTCACCAGAGGTAACGTTAAAAAAATTAACTATGTAATGAATTAATAACTTTGACGTAAATGCTATTTAAAATGGTTTTTACAGAGGCAAGCACGAATGTTGCTAGCTGAAGGAGCTACAGAGAATTGGGAACAGGCGCAATTAGCTGTAGAATTAATAACGAGAGGAATAAACCCTCCATCTGCTCTTCTGGCCGCTTTAGAATGTGTTGATCTTGATTCTGCTCTAGCGTACTTGCAGCAAGATTGTGAATTATGCGCCTCGCGACTTCCTGAATATGAAGTTAGTATTTTGAAAAGTTTAAACAATTCTGTTTAATTTAATTTTTGCTATATTTATTAATTTGTGAATATTTTTGTTTTCAGATGGTGTCAATGTTGCGTTGTACTCACAGATGCTGCAGAGAATGTGCGCGTCATTACTTCACAGTGCAGATAACAGAGCGCAGCATAGCGGACTGCGTGTGTCCGTACTGCAAGGAGCCGGAACTGGAGAACCTGCCCGAAGACGCATGGCTCGAATACTTTGCGCATTTAGATATATTGTTAAAGACATTACTTAACACTGATGTGCACGAATTATTTCAGAGAAAGGTAAATAATTGATAATTCATATAGCACAAAAATATCTTCTTTTTACTGTCTTCTATCCGGCCAGTTTGATCCGGTTTAATATCAATAATTATTTCCAGTTAAGGGACAGAACTCTGGCTCGTGATCCAAACTTCAAATGGTGTGTGGAATGTTCTTCTGGTTTCTTTGTACATCCTAAACAAAAGAAGTTACGATGTCCAGAGTGCAGATCTGTGAGCTGTGCTTCTTGCAGAAAACCGGTGCAATATACTACTTTATAGTTTAGTTAGAATAAAAATATGCTTAAACATGAATTGCTATTATTTTACTATTAGCGGTATGATGCTGTTAGCATGGAAACCAAAAAGTGACAAAAATCGTGTAATTTTCAGTGGTCTTCAAATCATGAGGGACTATCATGTGAACAGTACACAAAGTGGTTGGAGGACAACGACCCCGAGCGGTCAGTGGCGGCCGTACAGCAACATCTCAAAGAAAACGGCCTCGACTGTCCTCGATGTCATTTCAAATATTCGCTTTCTAGGTATAACAATGTTTTATATTTTGCGTATTAAAATTGACCAAATGTAAGCCAAAAAATACATTAAAGCGGGAGTTACAAATCAAGACTTGCCAAATTTAAAATAACCATTGCCCTTTTGTTTAATCCCTTGCTTACGTATCGTCGTTGTAACCATTTTTCAGAGGTGGTTGTATGCACTTCACTTGTACGCAATGCAAATACGAATTCTGTTACGGATGTGGAAAGCCGTTCACGATGGGCGCGCGCTGCGGCCTCAGCGAGTACTGCGCCAAGCTCGGCCTGCACGCGCACCACCCGCGGAATTGCCTCTTCTATTTACGAGACAAGGAGCCTCACGAACTACAAACTCTACTACAGGTAAAGAAAGAAAATATTAAGAAGTGCTCTATACATCATAAACTTTATAATACTAATATGTGTTTATTATTGCAGATGAACAACGTTACTTACGAAACAGAACCAGGTCCTGGCAGCACGGGCCGCTGCCCCGTACAATTGCAGAGAGAAACTCCAAGCGGTCTGGTTGATGGTACTTGCGGAAGCGAATCCTCACCGAATAATGCCGGACTATGCAAGTAAGTTCACTTAAAAAAAATCGCTCTGCAAAAGTCCAATTTACTAAAAAACACACTCAATTTAGTTAGGCAAAATGCATATATAATGCAGCCCGAATGCTATGAGACGTTGGCGTGTACGAAGAGGAGGGAGCGGCGGTGAGCCTCGGATGTGCTTGCAGGAATCATTACTTGGAGTATCTAAGCCGGCTGGTGAGAAGCCGGGCCGTGGACCCGCTGCCCATCCTCGGCGTGGACGACCTAGAGACGCTGGTCCGGCGCGCGGCGCTGCGTCTTCCGCCGCGGCCCTACGGCACACTAGAGGGGCTCTACAAGAGGGGCCTTATCGAGGTGTGTTTACGCGCGCTCTACTTGCAGGATGCACTACGTGGAGTACCTGGCGGGGTTGGCGCGCGCCCTTGACCCTATCCCCATCATGGACGTGAGCGAACTGGTGGCGGAGTTGCGCCGGCGCGCGCTGCCGCTGCCCGAGCGAGGTCCATGGGACACCGACCCCATTTACGCGGGAATGTGCGCCGAGGTAACAGATGCACTTCCACAGAGCCGTGGCACCGGACGACATCTTAATGCTGTTTTGGAAAAATCACAAGAGTAACATGTTGTTTAACATCAGGGTAACGTTAGGTCCACTTTCAACTTCACGTTTCATATACCAACATGAGGACATTCATTCAGACATTCATGTTTATTGCAGCACATATGTATGTGCTGTATATTATTAGGTACTAGCTTTTCGCCTGTAACTCCGTACGCGTGAAATTAAAAAACCGAAACTAAGAACGAAGTAGCCTAAGTGTTGTTTCAAACTATGCTCTACATCTATACCAAATTTCATTGAGATCCGTTCAGCAATTTAGACTACAAACAAATATCCATCCATCTAAATACACTTTCGCATAATATTAGTAAGATAGGTTCCCTGTCAATTGTAAAGTGTACCAAAAATATGTTTTATAAATTTATACCCTTGTACAGGTGTTCCATTAATATTCCTTTCATTTTAATAGTTTCCTTTAATTTGGTATAAACGTCTCTAATTTTAGGGAATATCACATTTGAGTAACCATACATTGCAGTTCTGTAAATCTAGGTAATTGCAAGAATATTTCTGCAGGTGTAATCTAATCATCAAAAAAAAAGGCAAAACTGTTTTTATAAATATGCATTTAATCATTGTTAACTTCAGAACATTTTCATAATTAAAAAACAAAGTTAACCAATTTACCTATTTCGCAGATCGTTCGAGAGAAGATTCCCCTCGATTAGATAAATTACGAAAACCTTAAACTCATTTAAATTTTACGAAACATATGTAAGAAATAAATTATTATGGACTTGATAATTGCATTATAAGCATCATTTTTTTATAATTATCATAAAGCCTGTTTATATTTAACATAATGAAAAGGAGTGGATTTTTAATTATAAGCGCTTTATATTTATATCATTTTATTTATTGATGTAGAAAAATTATTCATATTATATTTTAAATGCAGAAATAAATGTATACTTTACAAAGATTTGTTTTATTTAAGAAATGTATAGGTAACAATAAATGCTATCTTCTTGCGAAGTGTTCATCCATATGCCTCTTATCACGCTGTATGTAATGTCTGTTAGAATGGATGCGGCTTTCGAGAGAGTCTGGGAGAGCCCGCGCTTCATGTCGCGAAGACCGAGGAATATTCGCTTTCTTTTCTGAAGCGTCTTTTTCCGCTAACTGTTGAGCAACGCGACGGCCACGCTGTATCTCCCGTTCTGCCCCTGCAGCTGCCATTTCCGCTAACTTTGCAGCCTTTTCCTCTTCACTCATACCAACCCTCCCTTTGCTTCTGGTATCTTGTTTTACTTTCTGTGTTCTATCATTACGATCATATGACGATGTACTTCGTTGGGTACTCCGCTTGTAGTCTTCGTCACTTGAGTCACGACGTTTCTCTCTGCTATATTTTCTATCTAAAGTCATGTCCCTTCTGTGTTTCTTTATTTTCTCTCGCTCATAATCATCTTCACGTTCAGATTTTCTCTTATGTTGTGTTTCATCTGATTTACTTTCTTTGTTTTGTTTTCTAGCATGTCTTGAATCTTTCTTACTTTCCATTATTTCTTCTTCAGAGACATCAGAATCTGAATTCTTCTTGTTTTTGTGTTCTTTTTTACTTTTCTTTTTCTTTTTCTTGTTTTTTTTCTTCTTTTTATGTCTGCTCTGATCTGAAGATGAATCAGAGGAAGAATCATCATCTGAATCGAGCAAAGTTTTTAAATCAACCCCCTTTTTTGCTCCTAAAGCATTTAACTTTGCTGCTAAAATATTATCCAAGTCATTGTGTTTCTTCTTTGATTTCTTTTCATCCTTTTTCATCTTTGATTGATCCTAAAAATAAATGTGTTAATTTAAAATTATATTAAAGACAATATCAATTGTCTCCCATGTATGAGTAACTACAATGAGTAATATCTTCTGAAAATGGAAACCACTCATATTGGGTACCAAAAATATGGTGCTATATTAAGTATTAAAGCTTATGTAATGTGTTTTAGCTCAAAAAGAACATGACATGACAAAAGAACAGCAACTGTTGTTAAAAATGTTACCAAATTAAAATATATTATAATAAAAAAAATTACTTGTTCTTTCCGTAACAACTCTGTAAGGCGACGTCGTTGGAGAGGGTTATTCAACAGTGCTGCTCTTGCAGCTCTTTCTCTCTCCTTAATCAACAACAAGGGATCTTCTCTAAGTTTCCTAACTAGATCAACTTGTGTATCACTAGACATAGCTGTCATACTGGAGCCAACAACTCTCCGAGCCACCGCTGGTATAACATCTTGAGCATCTTTATCTGCCCGATCCTGATTACTATCAATAGATTTGCCAAGAAGATAGTCTTCCTGTTGTATCTTTTTATCTGGTTTCTATAAAAAAATATAAAAACAATTCAATGTTGTAGTGACTTAAAACGAAATATTATCAAGTAAGCAAGGAAACATACATCATACATCCAATGTAGACGGTTATCGTTAGGCGAGCTGCCACCACCAGCAGTACGTTTCGCTATTTCATTTAACTGCTCTCTGTCCCTCTCCTCGGCACGTTCCCGCTGCAATTCTGATATCCGTTTCTTTTCCTGTGCCGCCGCTTGTTCCGCTTTCCATACTCGTTCTTGATTTTTATAATTACTGGGATGCCAAGCTTTTTTGGTATTCTATAAATAAAACCAAAACATATAGGTTACATAGAAGAAAATGAATATAAACGTGAACAGGAAGAATCGTTTTACCAAATCTCCGCCACCCATTATTTGTGCATAGTATAATACAGCTAATTGTCGAAAGAGCAAGATGAAACCAGGAAAATATGCCTGATCTCAAAATGGGACAAAAATAACAGATACACAATAAACGAAAACGCTTTGAAACACAAACATAACTTTTGTAAACCAATTTGACATATGTTGACATTGACACTTGACGTCTGACCACAGACCACACATTTGATTTGACGCAACATGAACACACATTTGCTGTCGAAGATAAAATTTATGACACTGCAATGTAATATAAAATTTCATCTACATATTTATCCAGGTTTGTGAAAAAGTACAATGAAAGAGAACATGTTTTGTAACAATTTAGACAATTTAACCAAGGTCCATACAAAGTTGCTTACTTTGGGCGCTAGATGGGATTGAATGATTGTAAAAGTTTTCACGTGCTTCAAGTATCTCCAAACGTCTTTAAGATTTCGATTATATTTAAGTCATGCATTTGAATCAATAGTTTATTGAATTAAAACACATCATGATAGACCAAACCCTTATCATCATAATTAAATTAAATAATATTCTGGCAATAGTCCGCACAAGCACATCACACACATTTGCTCTTTGGATAATTTTAATTTATAATAGTTTTTAAACGGCTTAAAGGATCTCGATGAAATTTGGCAAAGGTGTAGAGTAGTGGAAGAACACATAGGCTACTTAGTTTTTTTAAATCCACGAGGTCGGAGTCGCGGTCGAAAGCTAGTCTCCATATAAGAGTAATTTGTCATTTGTAATTGTTTATCCAAAACTTACGTTATACCTAACCAAAAGGCAATAGGTACATTTTTCACGTGAAAGCACAGGATTTAGGTCTAACCTCTGGATCTATTACCTACAATATATTTTGTGTTACAGTAAGAAGCGAGGTCGGTCATTCAACCTTCTTGAGTCCATTTCGTCTTCCCCGACTAGACTGGCGTGCCGCCTTGACTGTCGGGTCAACGACTCCACTCTTACTTACATAATTTCTTTTAACATAAATAGATATGTACTATACGATGGATAGGAGCTTATGGTCTTTAAAGTGAATTAGAATAATGCAAGATTTTTTAAAATTACGACATAAATTTTACAGCGACAAACCTTACACAAAGGAAACTCTGTATTTCTGATTACTGTTCAAACCATTCCTATGATGAAAAATTAAAGATGTCAGCTTACGACGCTGGCAGTAATTTGCTTTATTCTACTTATAGTACATAACGTACTGAATATGTATCCATTATTATCAGTCACTTTTTAAATACATTAATGCTTTATGTATTTCAGAATAGCAATTAAATTAAAAATCACGTACCGTATCTTGTATAAAATATGTGACTAGTCACAAAACGATCAATAAATAGGTTATCAGGATGACGACAGTCGACGTACGTAATATAATTCCGTTTTATTAAATCTTCTAATAAACAGTCATTTGGTTGCAGAAGCTTCAATATTTCTTTCCCGTCAGATTAAATCGAATCAGATCATGTCCCCATCGAAGCTTAAACTATCCTAAGTCAGGGGACTGAAAATCTTACTTCATTTCATGTTAAACACTCGTAATAAATGCAAAAGTTTTATGACTGTTACCAGGTAATTCCATAACTCTATGTTGGCTGCAAGTCTAGGTGAACTTTAACACAAAATACAATATAGAATAGCGTATAGTAACTCTGGAAAAATGTTCGGTTCCCGTGAAATAGGTTTTTTTTATTTTTATAATTCAACAACTGCGCAAACAAATGAAAGCTGTTTGATTAATTCTATACAGACTAAGTCACGGGCAACAGCTAGTAAAATTCGATATTTTTGTGTACGTTACACGTGTTTGGCGCTATCTTTTAAATTAATTTAAGCAAGATTTAAAAAAAATAACTTGTTAAGGAACTTGCATGTAACCTTGACATCACGATAATTGTGGCGTATTATTATTACTCTATTATAGACGACGCCACGTGTAAAAAAATTAATAAATAAGTAGTTTCACTTAATAATTTTTATCCATTTTATTTTTAAACTACAAATAACTTTCTAGTTTTAATATTGATAATTATAGTCTGATAATTGTTTTTTTTTAATAACTCTATTTTTGACAATCATGCCATTCACTACTTTAAGCTAGTGGGCAATGTTAAATGATAGCTTGTGTAGAAAAAGTAATTTTACATTAAAATTATTATACAGGACAACGATGCGCGTTGAGTCGGCGCAGCGCTCGGCTACACGAGCGAGGCGGTGGGGGTCAGTTGCGGTCGCGTTGAGGAAGGTTGAATCGGGCGCACGCGCCGGCGGCCTCCGCACCGCGGTTCCGAACGTTCGCTGACCGAGCCGCGCGTGTCGCCGCCTCGCCCGCACCCCCGCCCCGCCGCCACCGCGCACCTACCCTCCTCCACCGCTACTCCCCCGCCACACAAAGCACCCTGCACCCTCCGGCGACGCCCATTTAAACTTTCATATACTCATTTCCTACCTTAGTTTAACTGTACTGCCACTTCATTTTGTAAAACATAACATGAAACATAATTTTATTAATAAATATGTATTGTTAATTAGCAAATCCATTGAATTATAAAGTAATCAACAAAACAAAACAGGTCCGATAGAGGTGTGTTTTATTCTTCCTCAGTGTCTTGAGACACTCAGGGATACATATTTAAAGACACCTCGCTCATCAAAATATACAACCATTCTTACATACTTGAAAAAAAACATGCATACATTCGTACAAAAAGATAATACCTACTTGCATTCTAATGAAAAATGTTGATTTAAAGTCGGATATTCCATTAATCATTGTTAGGATCAGGTAGAGACTGGTATTGTTAGACCGAGACCCAGTTTAGGTCACTGGCGCCACTCACCACTATCAAGTTTAATCAAACATACAAACAAGGATCAAATACATGTAAGCTCAAAAGTCGCAATTAAAAAACATTGCTTCTAAATGTGAATGTATTTATGACATTCAAAGACCTTGTCCTGATACAATCTACCTAACAGCCACGTGAACACATAAAAGGATCGTTCACCATTTCCTTTTTTTTTCGTTAATTAATTCTCTTATATTAAAATAGGTAAAAAAAACTTGACAATATGTAAATTTTGCTAAAAATAAAATTGACATGGTACTTACAACGTGTAATAATCAATTAAGCTATTAGTCCAAAAACATTTAACAATATTCATATCTCTTGGTTTTAGTAATCATATTTTTTTCTGTGAGTCTGCATTACGATTAAATTCCTTGTTTCTGGAAGCTTCCCGTTTATATTTGTAATAAACTTGTTTCTAGTCCCCTCTTTCTAGACTTCGTTCGCGTGGTATTAGAAAACATACGAACTATATAAATAACAAAAAGCTACGTATCCCTCGGGAACCGGACATTTCTCGGGGATGAACCTTATCCCATGTGTACTCCAGACTTTGTTTTATATCTGTGCCAAATTTCAATAAGATATGTTGAAACATTTCAGAATGATTGAGTAACTTAATTAACTAAATTAATGAATCCCAGGAGAACTGTAACTATTCCCGGGATAAAAAGTACCCTATCTGTGCTTCAGACTATGCTTTAAACCAAATTTCATGGAGATGCGTTCAGCCGTTTAGGCTACAAACGCTAACAAACATCTATCCATCGTAACTTTCGCATTTATAATATTTATATGATATATGATATCGGATTCGGACGTTTTTCAGTTAAAACTAGATAAATGTTCAGTTGTAATTATACTGGAATAGGCCACATTTTTTTTAAATGTAAAAAGTTGAGTCTTTTATTTTTATCTTTATCGTTTGGTACTACAATTTAGTTACATCGTTATCAGTTACGGGGAACGTTATGCAATTTACTTACATAAAACCCGATTAAACGTTATCGATATGTGTGCAAAAATATACATATCTAGTTAATATTTTTTTTATTTCCATACTTACTCCTTTTATACTCATGTTAATTTTTACAGTTTCCCCTACTTTACCTACATAAAATGTAATCATTACCAATTTCTTAATATTTATAGTTAAGTTCATAATGAATTTGTCAATCAATGTTTTTAAAACAGAAAAACACGTTGTCTAAATGTTGTACTTTTCATTTGCACGTAATAGAAAATATATTACGCACACCATATTCAAGTAAAGATACTCTAATAATAATTACGGTATGCAGAGCCGGGCAAACAAAAGGAATTTTCGTTTGGATCACATCGACCTTTATGCCATATACATTGCCCTAGACAGGCAGACATGAAGTATAGGTAGGGGCGAGAGCGGGGCTTGGGGGGCTGGAGAGACGGAGGAGTCACGCACGCGCGCTGCTATCGAGAGTTCACACGCGCTACGAAACCGCGGTGCGCCTCCACGTGGCGCGCCCGCTCGCCCAACCTTCAGCCGCGGCAGTCTGTCGCGTTTACACGTTCCACTATACCTATACATACATACTTGCATTATTATTGTTCCTGACCCAACACCAGCGGCTCCGTGTAAAATACTTTTGTATTCAAGATTATTTTGTGATTTTTGAACATGATTTTGTTTTATACGTTGAAATGTTTAAGCAGGTAGTTTTAATGTACTTTCTGAAAATGCAAAAATACAGCTTAATATCGCTAAAAACATTAAATATGACAACAATGAAATCAAGGTTTTTATAATTCATCTACATGTAGGCTATCTACCTAAATACAATTCTTAGTATGTCGCGATCCTGAATTATAAATGCGTTTGTAGTGAAAATTTGGCTAGGATGTGAAGCCAAAAAGGTAAAAAAAGTTTATTTTATTGCGGTACCCTGGGCCTGTTTCAACTGGAATACAATAAGTACATGTAATGAAAACAATTATTAAAAGATTGATCCAACCTACTTTTATGTATTGATTAACATTTAAAAAAATATATATTAAAAAAAAAGTTTTTAGATATAAGGTAATGTAGAGTTTTGCGTTAAACAAATACTTTGTAAAACGATTTGTTGCAAACCTAAGTAATTTATTTTATTGAGGCTCAGAAGATACTTTTGTGTCGTTACATTACGAGCACATGAAAAGCGATCGGTGGTCGCTGCACACAGACAGGGTGCGAGTGTGTCGGCACGAGTGGAGCACGTCAGCGGCACTGTGTCGGCCAGTGCCGGCTGTGCTGTGCCTGTGTGCGCGGCGTAGAGGAGAGCGGAGGACACTTGCGCCGGCTCCGGCTCGCGAATTCCGCATTCGGCCGTGGACCGTCAGCGAGCGCGCCGCCCAGCCGTTTGCTTCGCGATACGCAACCTACACCAACACTGACGCCATTGAACCGCGCTTGACGAATTATCAATCATCATTGCCTAATGATAGGTAAGTGTGCTATTATTTTTATCATTCTAAAATATATTTTTTAAATTCCTTTATAAATACATATATTTTTATTAATATTATTTTATACTAGTATTTTTATTTGCTACTTAGTTATGCTACGAATTTAAAATGTGTCGTGTACTTTTTAATACACATTTTTTAAAACTTTTACAATTACTTTTAATGTTTTTTAAAGTTATATAGACTGTAGCTCTGATATATAACCATATAGACCCTTACTGTAGATACTGTATAATGCCAACAGTTTACATCAATTAGGAAAACCATACCCATACGCTACACATATAATATTAGTGTATTGCACGAGTCCACGAGTAAAACGAAAGTGGGGAGAGTGCGGGTAGCGGGGGGAGGCACGGTGCGGATACGGGGTCGGCGGCCCAAACACGTGGAGGCGCGCACCGTGGCTTCGCCGCGCCGAAACCGCGGTACCGGCCTCCACGTGCAGTCGGAGGACATTCACTCCGCCTCGTTCCTCGCTCCTCTCTACCCGTTCTCGCCCCTTTATGGCCCCGTATGTGCATCCTGATTTTCCTGATCGCCGCATGCCGTACACAACAGACATTGCACTGTGAACGGTCGTCGCGTTTGAACGCGCGAGTATTAAAATAAATATTGTATAATAGTCGTAGCACAAATAATGAGTTATACGCAGTCTCTTGAAATCGACATTATTCGTTCGGCAGGTGAAGAGGAACGTATGCACCAGTGCGGGGAATGCGGGCTGACGCTGTCGACCCGCAGCGCGCTGACAGCCCACGCCCGCTCGCACCGCGTCGCCGCCGATGCCCACCGCTGCGACGTCTGCCACAAGACCTTCGCCGTGCCGGCGCGGCTCGTCCGTCACTACCGAACCCACACGGGCGAAAGACCTTTCGAGTGCGAATATTGCCACAAGATGTTCAGTGTTAAGGAGAATCTGCAAGTTCACCGGAGAATTCATACTAAGGAGCGGCCGTATCGCTGTAGCGTCTGCGGCGCTGCCTTCGAGCACTCGGGGAAACTCCATCGTCACGCCCGCATCCATACGGGCGAGAGGCCCCACGCCTGCCAGCACTGTCATAAAACTTTTATTCAGTCAGGCCAGCTGGTCATTCATATGAGAACGCACACCGGAGAAAAACCATACCGCTGTCCGGCGCCGGGTTGCGGAAAAGGATTTACATGCTCGAAGCAGCTCAAGGTGCACTCCCGCACTCACACGGGCGAGCGGCCCTATACCTGCGACATCTGTCTGCGAGACTTCGGATACAACCACGTGCTCAAGCTTCACCGCTTCCAGCACTACGGCGAGCGCTGTTACCGTTGCACAGTCTGCGACGGTACCTTCAACACAAAGAAGCAAATGGAAGCTCACATATACAAAGAGCATGGAGCAGAAACGCCCCGAGCAGCCGCATCTTTGTCTACCGCCCCAGGGGCTGGCAACGGCAATCCGATGTGTGACCTGGTGAAGGTGGCCTTGCAGCAGATGCCGCCGACGCCGCCGAGCTCGCCGCCGTCGCCGCCGTGCACCATCACGATGATTCCCGCCGCGTCGCCGGCTCTCGTCCCCGCGGCCGCCCCCGCAGTCGATCCGGCGCCCGCCCCCGCCCCCGCGCCCACCTCCAATCCATCCCCATCCCCTTCGCCCCCTACGACCAGCCTACAATTCACTCTCGCTCCTTCCTCTCTCCCGCCTAGAAAGCGAAAGCTTATTCCTTATCACGATTCGCTATCCGAGTCCGCGTCGGTGTCGGTGCCCGCGGTGCGCCACACATCAGTGATACAGTTTGCGCCGCCCGCCGCCGCCGGCCTCTCCTAGCATCACTTAGCATTCAATTTGTAATTAAATGTTACATTAAGTCGTAATACTTTATTATTATCGAAGGCTGTACATTATGATGGTAGCGTTGGTTAATTTGTTTTAGTAAGGTGTAAATGTGATTGTTGATTTGCAAATTTTCCAATTATGTCTGGTACATGCAAGAATGATTGTTTCTATCTATAACTTGGTAAAAGACTAATTAGTTCTTTAATTAGATTAATTGTAACGTCATTGTTTACTAGAACCACTTTTGTATTTATCTTTTATGTGTTTACTCTTAAGTAAAAATAATATGACAAAACTTATTTTTTTAATTGATTGATACCTAATTTCTCTCGTTTTCGAGAATAAACTAATAGTCTACCTACTGGGGATGTCATTAGAGTTCGTTGAATATATTTCGTTGTACCGTAACCAATGTTCTTATCGAATAAAATAATTGAGTCAACGGAAACACTAGTGGCCAGGTCAGTTGTTAAAATACAAATAACCGGAACACATAGTTTGGTGTCTACATTACTTCTACGAGAACGTTACGATTTCGCTGTAACACCATAGGTAATGGCGTACATACGACGCATCAAAAGGAGGTGGATTGTAGATAAGTGATTTCTAATCTAATATTACTTATGCCCACTTGGTCAAATAATTTGGCGGCCTTTACAGTAATGGATCGAAAATCGAAACGAGGTAAACTTGAAAAAACCTGACTAAAAATATGACATTTTTGTCATAACTCATGAGGGCCAAAAAATCTAGTGATATTTAAAAAGGTGATATGCAATATTTTAAATCTAAATCAATATATTGAACTGTTTACATTTTTATTTTATTGTTAGTGTGCGTTAACTACCTATACATTGTTTTCCCCAGATGTGAATATTTTTACAATAACAAATTATTAGGTACTCAAAAATTACTCCACGGTTAAAACATGATGTTTACAACTTGACAATAATCAACAATGTCTTATAGGAAAGTCAAAATTTCTTTATATCTTCCGAAATTTTTTCATGTTTGAAATATAAACAAACTATAAGCAAATGATCTACTACTAATGACATAAAAACTATTAATATTTTATTGTCTCACGAGGAGAAATCCCTTATAAAAATGGCAACATTTACTGGTGTAGCTGCCATTCCTTCATTGGTCGAAACAAGACGTTGTCAAAATGACATTATTAGTTCAAATATTTTACAATGTAATTATGGAATTTGTTATTACCATTACAAGAAATTATTCTCGTAGGTATTCCGTATTCCGCAATATATCGAGGTATTCTTTTATTCTAGGCACATCTTGGGCACATCATAAATGCTGATGCCATAAAGCCATATAGACATCCAAGGATCATAAGCCGTTGACAATTTTTTGAACTAACAATGTCACCTTGAAAGCGACATGTTTTGACCAATGAGGGAGAAGCAATTGTAGATGTGAAAGTCGCTGTTTTTATTATTCCAAATTTCCAGAAAAAAAATGTGCTATTTTAACATGTAGTTTTATTACTGTAATGTAAGGATGATGCTAACTTATGTACGTGTATTTATTACAGTGAATTCCAAACACTATACTAAACCTACCTCGTCTTTGCTTAAATAATCTAAAAGCTGAATAAATTTGTGAAATGAATCAATTTAAACAGTAAACAATTACTAAGGGAACTCAGATTATAAGTTGAAAATTATTGGCATTTTTGGATTTTCATTTCAACATGGAGAATTTCGAAAGACGGTGGGAATTTTTTGCTCACTGGTAACTAAAAACTAGCAGACGTCCTCTGTCATTGTCAAATCTGCCATACAATTTAAAATTCCTGGTTGTAATGTTGTAATAACATTAAAATAATTTAAATAGTTAATATATGATATATCAATAATTAATGAAATAAGTGTATTTACAAAACATTTTCTTACAGGAAAACTGCAAGTTCCATACAAACCCAGCACAGAATAATGTTAATCAAAGACGCTTACGCTAAGTTACGATTTTAATTTCTATTCCTACATTTACGTTTAGACTCGTGTATTTTTGCATTTTTATGTTTTCAATTATACACCATTTTTACAAATTGTTATTAAAAATGGTATAAATAAATTCTTTACTCTAAATGAAAAAACACAAAACCATAAGCTTTAAAACTTCCAAATATAATAGAGCTGACAACACTAAACTTGATGCTTGCTTGACATCTGACTTTGACGATATTACGACGCCATGTTTGTGTTCTAATGTCAAACAAATGAAAAAAGCCGCCGGTTCTGTTTCATAATTCTTGTATTCCTACTAGACATTGTATTTATCTTAAATTAGCGTAATAATCACTAACTAAAAATGGTGAGTATTAATATTGTTTAACTATGTGATGCATCACCATAATAAAGGATACTTTATTTTTGATGCTTTGAAGTTATTTTGTTTTTGAAGTTATTATGATGTATGATTAGATTTTTGTAACATTTAGCTATATATCTCTTAAACATTACTATGTGCGTCAATGAAATTAAACAATAAATTAATTTTTCATTTCAGACGATCGGAAAGAATAATAAAATGCAACAGCATATTAACTATAGAGTAAGAGTTATTTTACAAGATTCAAGGACTTTCATAGGAACTTTTAAAGCATTTGATAAACACATGAACTTGATACTAGGGGATTGTGAAGAGTTCAGGAAAATTAAGTCCAAAAATAGCAAAACTGCGGACAGAGAAGAAAAGAGATCATTGGGTTTTGTGTTACTGCGTGGAGAAAATATAGTATCTCTTACTATAGAAGGCCCGCCACCGCCAGAAGAAGGCTTACCCCGTGTACCTCTACCAGGCGGTATCGGAGGCCCAGGCGCAGGCCGGGCAGCGGGTCGGGGCGCTGGTCCAGGAGGACCTCCTCCTGGTCTACAAGGACCAGCTAGAGGAGTCGGTGGCCCGTCACAGCAACATATGGCACCAGGATCACGAGGACAGCTCTCAGCACCACCTCAGATGCGTGGAGGACCTTTGATGGGTGGTCCTCCGCCAGGTATGATGGGAGCACCTCCAGGAATGGGCCGCGGCGGTCCAGGCAATCGTGGACCACCGGGAATGCGCCGTTATTAATTCTAAGTGATGTGTAATTTTAGTATTAAGACAAAAGAGTGCATTTTGTGAATACACCATAAGCATCAGTAAGTTTGAGTTTAATTATTAAATTTTAGCCACTGACATATGCCAGGCACATGTTTTAAGTATTTAGGGTTTATTAGAGATAAGTTTATTTGTAAGGAATACTGAATAAATTTTACATAAAATGTCAACAAATAAAACTATTAAAAAATACATTTTGTCAATTTGCTATCTTCTGTTATATTTTAAGTTTACTTGACTTCCAAGTAAACTTTTCATAAAATGTCATACATAATGATTTTTTTTTTTTAAATTAGACAGTCATTACATGATATTATTTTTTATTTAATCTTTGAATACACCTGAAACAATTTAAAAAGAGGGATAACAATTGTTTTAAAACAAGTGTTGAGTATGAAAATATATAGCCTAAAATGGAGGGCTTTTTATTAAAAAGATAGCCTGATTACTGACATCCTACATAAATAAGTAGTATGTGTTTTTATGCTTTATTATAATGCTAGCTTTCCTCGCGACTTCATCCGCATGGAATTAAAAAAACAAATGTGTGTAGCCTATGTGTTCTTCCAAATTATGTTCTACATCTATGCCAAATTCCGATCCAGATCCGTTCATCCGTTAAGGCTACAAATTCAAACATCCATCCATCTAAACATTCACATTTATAGTATTAGTATGATTTATTATAAGGTAAATAAAGTAATTAAGTAAAGATATGTAGTTAAATTGGTTTATGGTTTATGCTTCTTGGGATATTGTACTAATAAAATAAACAAGGAAGAAATTAACTATAAACATAATATACTTTATTTGTAGATTCATGTATGTAAAATTTTTAATACAAATACACATTTAGATATAGTTAATAGATTATACATAAATAATAAATTAATGACAATAACCGCAAGAAGGATGACATCGTTTGCCGTCGACGCCACACCTGCAGCCGGCGGTGGTGTCGCCGCGGCCTGCGGGCCCCCAGCGCCGGCCGCGCGTCACCCAGCAGATCTCAGTTTTACACGCCGAACATTTTACCCAGTCACAGCCCCACTTCTTTGTGATGATGGCACTGCACTCCGGACACTCTAGAGCTTCGCCACGGCGTTTGAGTGAATCCAGCAACGCTTTAGTGCCCGCATCAGTTTCATTCGTTTGGGCTGCTGTGACGGCCGTGCGAAGTTTCGTTTGGTAATGTTCACATGTTTCGCCGTCGTGTATAGCCTAGAAAATAAATAAAGACCTAACTCCTATAACTGACAAGTTATTGATAGAAAATCACCTAGTACTCTAGGCTTTAGATTGTAAATTGAAATTGATTAATTGCAAAGATACAGCAAATACGCTTAGAATCAACAAGAAGATTAAAGAAACGCTGATTTTTTTTAGACTAGTACAGATTAATGATCTATTTAATTTCATACCGTGCGTTTTGTTGTAGATTTGTATGAATTATACGAATGTTAGCTGTTAAAACACTGTGATATAAATTACCTGACAGGGCACACAATTGTTGCATTTGCATACTGGACATGGGAACTTTCTGACTCCAGGTTCACAGAGAGCCCAGCCCGTACAGTCACTGGTACGACAGTGGAATGCGTTTCGAGTTCCACATTCGGCGGTGGCTAACCCTCGAGCTAGCCAACGCTCATACTCCTCGGTAGATAACAAGGCACGTATTTCACGCTCTTGTAGCATTCCAGGACATCCGATAGCCGGACACGACACTACCGCCTCCTCGCAATGCTTTACAACATCAGCGAGACAATCTCTACAAAAGGTATGGATGCATTCACGAAGTACAACGCCTCTCCCGGCTTCACATTCGTCCATGCAAACGCCACATTCAAACGCGTCCATGTTTGGAACAATTGCTTGCTGCTCTAGCTTCATAAGTTCCTTATAAACCTCCCCAGCTCCATTACCCATTTGCCGATCTTCGCTGTTTCTACTGCCATCGCCTGTTACCTCCTTCTTTGTTTCTGAAATAAAGATTTATTGCCACATAAGGAAATTGTCGCAATTTACCTTGTAGTTGTGCTGATAAGCGCAAGGATGAAATACGACGGACAGACTACTAAATACTATTAGATTTTTTAATGACCTTCGAGTCCGTTAAATGTTAATAATCCAAATTAATAATAACCTTATTTTTAGATTTCTCGATATTATGATCAAAGAAGACATACCAGACTCTACTATACATAAGTAGAAGGGTGCACTCAGATCAGGACCAGCTAGAGTTGCTAAAGGTGTTGAATCATTCAAACATAACGTTCTGCCAACTATCCAACGTTGTAATTTGGAATCGAGTCCCAGTGATGCTTCCGCCTGCCGCCGCAACTCACCCATCGTTGCTTGTTTTGATATTCGAAACTGTATCGGGCCGCGAGTGGTTTCCTTATCCTCAACCCATATCTTGATTCTGCAAGTAAATTAAAAGTTGTTTCAGGTTTTGCAAACAGAATATGAGGAGATGACAGTATGTTTTCTATAAGTAGTAACAGATTACTGTTTACTAAACATTTTTTGTTTAAGTGTTCATTCTGTAATAACCCTAAACAGAAGAACTAAACTTTTTATTGTTGTAAGAATAACACAATCTTTAAAGCTATCGACCACGTGAATCGTATTTCCATTTGTAATAAAAAGTTTTTCTACTTACTGGATACCATTTACTAGATTTTGAAATTAATTGAAGTACAGTGCGGTAATATTCGTAATATACTTACGCCATTATCTTATTTTCTCCATGACTAGACTCTATACCAGAGGCCTTCTGTTTTAAATTTATCTGTGAGATTGCGATTTTATCTTCTTTCGATGTTCCTTGGTCTTTTGACGTAGAAGGTCTGTTCGTAGTCTCGTTCGCGGCACTTTTGTTTAAACAAGGGACTAGTGATTGTTTTTCTGACGATTCTTTTTGCTTTGTTAATTCATTATTGACCTTCTCCTGCATGGGAACTCTGTTTAAACCACCTACCGTGTTTTTATCATTTTTTTCTGCAGCTTTTGTGTTAGAATCTATAATTCTTGGAATAGCGGCATTCCCAATGATTTGTGAAGAAAAAGACAAAACGGAACACGACAATCGAAGTTTAGCGAGTTTAACAGCAGCTTCGGCAGCTGCTTGTTCATCACCTGTCGCTATAGATTGTTCTAATTGATTCACAAGCTGTCTTCGCCTGATATGATGTTCCGCTTTACTGATACATTTCTCCTGCTTGTCTTTGGACGATGAAGGTGTAACCCCTAAAACTTTACATACAGATGTATTTGTGCTATATTGGTTTTTTGTAATTGACGGTGATGCCATTTGCTTTTCCTCGGGTTCTTTCTCACTTGGTTCCGATATTTCTTTGATAGGCATAAGAGGTCTTTGATTTATCAATACTGTAGGAGGCTGTGAAATGACTGCAGTTGATAATGATATAACATCGGGTTTAGGCCCTTTAATGTTCTTTGAATTCCCCTCCGATGCAGATTTAGGTGATGTCATAGGGCGATAAACTGGATTCAAAAGCGATGAAATCCTTAAAGGTGTGTGAAGACTCGGTGCACTACTCGTACTTGAAACTTGAATGTTATTTTCGTTTGTTTTAGTTGTTTTCTCTTCACCACATTTAGTGGATTTCACATTTTTATCTAGACAGTTTTCTGCCGATCGCTGCTTTGATAGATAGGTTGTATCAGTAGTTGCTGTATTGACTTCAATTTCCTTTTTTTGTGTCTTCCCACTTGTTGGCAGTTTCGTAATAGAAGAACTTACAGAAGTCTGTGTAAGTGTTACTTCAGGTTTAAGATTAGCTAGACTTTCTATGGGTCTTGGTTTTGATCCTTCACTAACAAACAAGGCTGGTGTTAAATTTTTGTGTTTTATTTCTGGGGATATCTTTGATTTTAATTGGTTCGATATTTCTGGTTTTACGTCAGATGAGGCCTTAGAATTATCAAGTAATTTATTTTGAACTGTTGGTTGGTATTTTTTAATTTTTTCCGCACCCTCAACATCAACTTGTGTTTTTAATAATGATTCTTTCTCCTGTACTGTAGTATGACGAATACCATCCTTGTAAGTAATAACAATTGGTTCGTCTTGTGAGTTTTTGTTCGTCATATCGTTCGGTATATTGGAAACTTTCTTAGATTCAATATTTTTAGAAATTGCCATCATAATACTTTGGTCTGTAACATTCGATTTAATTTGATGAAATACAGAATTTTGTATCCCGCTGGTGGATGGCTGCATAATATCTTCTTTAGCAACTGTTACATCTAGTTTCTTTGAAGGGCTTTCGTTTTTAGTAGGTGGGTCAGATATGTGTTTCTCCCGCGAAGATCCTATTCGAAGCGTAGGACTTTCAGTGGGTAATACATTTTGTTTAGGTCGCTTAGGAAGAGAATCTTTCATTTCCTTCAACATTTCCTTTAGCTTTTTCTTCTCGTCTTCTTCATTTCGTTTACTCGTTGATGCAATTTTCCTTAAGTCATTATCGGTTTGCGTGTATATATTTGAAGCTACATTTGAATTTAGATTATTTTGTAAGATATTACCTGTATATTTGTTATTCAATACACAATATGAACAAGTTGATACCGCGTTATTGTAATTTCTAAAACATTGAGTACAAATCCAATTCTTTGAAGGATCTGAACCGATGTCATTAACAGAAACAGTTCCTTTTGCTTCCAATAACTTGAGTTTCTTGTTTTCAATAATTTTAGCTGCTTGTTTATCTAATTCACTAATGTTTGGTAATAGTTTTACATAATTTGACTCTATCGAAGAATTTCTCTTTTTATTGTCAAAAATTTGCTTCAAAAAACTTTTATCAGTTTTCTTTATTTCTTGTTTAGATTTTTCAATATTGATGTCCACAGAGACATTGTTAGGTAAAGAGCGTCTATCACAATTAGGCTTTGGATTCATTGGTCCAGAACGTAAAGCAACGCTATTGTCGACTATTAATCTATTGGGTGGTTGAGGAGCTGGTCGTTTCCTTGAAAAATTTCGTGGAAGAGAAGAAGTGACCGTTGGGGGCAAAGGTGCACGTCTTTTACCAGGTACGTAAGGAGCTCGCCTCTGAAAGCTTTCGCTCGCGGCTCTTCGTCCCCGTTCAATATTATTTCCGCCGTCGGATATATTCCTGCGGTCAAACGGAAGGCTAAATGCGTCGTATCTGTCGCCGTTTTCTCCTTTAAATAAACCGTATTTCCGATGAAGAGTTAGGTTGCGTTCTCTTTGCCTTCGAAAATTTCGATCCCGCACCCTTTTTTTATAAGAATCAGTGGGCGGACTGAGCGGCGGCAAAACGATCGGTTCTGTTGCAGCCTTGTAATTCAAGGGTTCTAGGAAAGCAAAGCTGACAGCAGTGCGGTCAGACCCAGCACTGGAAAGGCTCTCGCTGGAGATGGAGCGGTCGTCGCGTCGGAGCCACGAGAACAACGTCCAAATACCACCGGAGAGTGGTCGCGGACGCGGTGCCTCCGCTTTTATATCGCCGTTCATCACCTTCTGAAAATTCAAACAGGACAATATAAATTACACTTGAACAAGGAGTTGATATTATTTGCAATCTTTACATTTAAATATGCAATTTGAAAATCACTTTTATCTCGAAATAGTACAATTCATACTTACTCACTCTGAAACCATGAGAAGTAACAAAAACCGAATCTAGAGCATATTAACCTCGATTTCGCACGGATCGCGATATATTTAAAGCGTTGTTAACGCCCTTCATCGTAAGAAATATTCAATTAGTAGATTGGGGCAGAGGTCAAACACGGCAAACAATCATAATGTAACAACTTTTGTCAACGACCACAATTGTCAATAATAGTGTAGTGTACGGCGCGGAGGCGGAGCGCAGTGGAGAACAAAGCGAGGTCGCGCGGCCACTGAGTCGCCAGCGCCGGCCGCCCGCCGCCACCACCCGTCGCTCGCCGCCGCCCGCCGCCTGCAGCGCGCCGCCCGATCAGCTATATTTAGCCCAACTTCGCGATTCACTTTTTGCTATTTCTATTTCATTTTAAAACACTCGGCCCCACTTAAATTTGGATACTTCCCGACTTTTTAGTAGCACCTCAATTGTTACGCTTAAAAATTGTAAAGATGAGTAATACAGGGCTGTATATATTTCACAACAGTACCGGTCAAATGAAGGTTTCTATATTCGTAACATAACTGAGGCAATTTATTCGTAAAATTATTTAGTATTGCATACGCGGCTGAATTCTTACTACTCATTCATGTCACTCTTTACAAATGACGTAAATTTTTTAGTCCTATTTAATTTAATAATATAATTATAACCGATAATGAAATTAAATCATTTAATTACTCATCCAGTCTAGCCTAGTTATCTGGACCGCTCTTGCTTCATCTCGACAGTCCAACAGAGTTAATAAAATTAAACGATAGTATCCTTTGAGCACATGTGGGTACTGAACAATGTCACGTACCTGTAACAACCGTACTCACGCCCATTACCAGACGGGTAGGCAGCGTTTACAGATTCCCATTTGGCGCGTTTAATATTCATGATCCACAATCAAGGGAATAAAAGTCGAGAAAATTATTGAAACAATTTAATCTTCTAAATTACAATCAATTATTAATTTACTGACTAAATAACAAAACATAATTTATGATCCTTGCTCGCTGCGGTTCTTAACGGAGAGGGAATTTTTCTCAACGGCGGCGTGTATGACGAGGCAGGAGGCGGCGACGCGCGCCGTCAGCTCCGCCTGGTTCAGCTCGTGCGCCCACGGCACGCGCCCCCAGCGCACTAACTAATACAAAACAACCCCCTTATTTTCATATAACCCCAAACATTCAAATTTATATAAAAGATAATTTATAAAAAACCTATATTAACAATTTTACCTTTATAAAGCTGTTATCATAGATTTATTACAAACAGGCATGTTTGTATCATCAATTCAAGTAATTTCCAAAATAAATACGTACTCGAAAATCACACTGCCGGTTAGTGGAATGAGTTAATATAAATTCTATTCCCATTAAATTTGACTATGGTTATTAAAATATTGGACTCCAGGAGTTCTAAACTGACAAAACTATTTTCTACTTATATACTTGATCTTTACTTTCTAATTGTTAATGTTACCTGATATTCCTCTTCCAGTCGGGAGAGCAGCACAGCCTCAGTTGGTTCCAAGTAGCGATCAACACATGCCAACATCAGCACAGGCGATTTTAATGCCTCCATTCCAAATGTAAACGCTAAAACATTTTTATGCATCTCTTGTGATTAAAATACATATATGCTGTAATTCTTTCAATTAGAAAAATAAACAAACCATTTAATGCTGCAAAATCATAAGACAGAAAATGACGCGCCAACGCCTCTCTCGTCTTGATGCTGACTGGAGGAGGCTCCAGGTCGTGAGATATCTCTTGTTTGATACCAAACCTTTTTTCAAACCATTCCAACACTGGACCCCACTTTTGTTCTTGTAATACTCTTAAATCTTTTTCTTCCTGTATTAAGCCATATATTCCCATTAAAACATATAAAATGTTATCAGGTTTGTGCTGTTATTTTGAATTAATTTTTTTTCTACTATCTAGTATTTACAGTGAGAAGTTTGCATGGACAGTATCATGTCATGTAATATTATTTTTTAAATCCATATCGGCACATGTTATTTTTTAGTTACCGAAATAGGCATTACTTATTCTCAATTTTTTTACTATTTTTAGAGATGCAGAGTTATTAATTTCTTTTTAAACTAATTTGTTACTTACATCTGAATAAAAAAACAGTGTGTCTGTGCTTAGATATTCAATCATATATGTTGTTATATCATGTGAAGTCAATTTTCCTGGATTATCCAATGCTGTGTTGCATAATGCTGTCTGAAACAAGGTAACATTTATCCCAAAATATAAGACTCCAATTTTAAAAAATTGCAATTATTTTAATGTTCCACAAATTTTACATTTCCCGTGAAAAAAAACAAAAATTGTCTAATCTGATGATTCTAAATTTAAGTTAAGAAGCTGACTTTAGAACTAGCATGTCCATCAGTCCAAACTTCATATGAGTAAACATTTATGGAGTTTAATTGTGACAAAAATATAAGCCTTTCCTTTTCATAATATTTATACTATGATATGTATACCATTTAATATTTACCAAGTGCATAGAAGGCTGTGCAATAGTCTCATCTTGTGCATCCCATTCAGCCGCAATAGCTCTGGCTAATTGTTCACTACCAACTTTAAGTACTTTCCCATTAGGAGTTTTTAGTCGGCGATGATCTAATGTTATTTCCCATTTGTCATTGTTTTGAATAATTTCAGTACGACGATAAAATCTCTTGTGAGTCGCTAAAACATAATATAAATTTAATTAACCTCTCTTTTGGTTTTGTTTGTTGAATTTTACTATGAAAAGAAGAACCCAAAAAGGTGGCCACCATACATTAAAGATTTACTGTGTTTTTGTTTCCTGATGTATATTGTATAGTTAAAGTAGTTTTTGCTTGATAAAGTTTATATCATCCTTTTTCAATTCAATTATTTTAAACACATTTATCACTCACCATAAAAATGACATCCAAGTAATTTTGGACTTTGATGTCTTACTAGCTTACAGAAAGGTTGACTTGACTTAGACAAAGTTTTGAAAATAGAATAAGCCAATGCTCCAGGAACCATTTTGGATTTTGTTTACAGGATTTAGATATCAAATAGTTACTGCAAGGAAATGTTCAATGACTAAGTCTCATTACAAGGAACTTGTTTTTTTTTTATATTACTTGCTTATTTATACATCCACAACTATACATTCTTTCTTTCATCTCTCATCAATCTTAAATATCACATTTATCCCAAATGTGAAAGTTTGGGTTAAGGATCTTCGACATCATATTTAACTCTTATTTTGCTTCTTTATACAAACTTATACAATGAGAAATTATACGTTTGTATAACTTAGGTGTAACTGTTAATTAAAAATCTTTTACATTTTGAATTTGCATCCAAATAAATTTGATATTTATTTCTTCAATGCAATTTCATATTGAATCGGATTTGACACTTGTCTCTACTTGACATTGACATTAAAACCTAGATAGAATATTTAATTTTTTTTTTATGCTTTGGTTACAATATCTTTAAGCCAATGAGAAAAATGACAGGTTAGAATAAAGACAAAATAATTAAAATAGAAGTGAGAGACTCTGTGAATGATGATTCATTCTAGGGATGTTTATTATTATTTTTTTCTATGAAACGTAGGGTTGCTTTTATTTCCTTTCTTTCAACTTAATGGTTTTCTCTAATTTTCTCAACTAATTTAGTGGTGGGGTGAGGTGACTCTTTCGGTTTAGTACGTATCATCGTGATACTATCGGGTAAAGATTTATTCGTTGAAGAGGAGTGAAGCTAACGGTTAATTAAACAAAGTGTAATCCTCATCCAGGACCAGGATACAGTAATAACATAGCACAATAGGCTTAAAAGTAAGTCATATCAATATGATGTCGGGATGAGTTAAATTACTAATTATAAAGATTAAGAACAAATAAAAATTGCTTAGCTTCGTACTAAAACTGCTTTAATAATTTTTTTCTTTACTTTTTTTGGTAACAGCTATTGGTATAAGGAAAAACCATAACAATCTATCAAAAAAAAACAAAACCGTTCTAGAAACGTTAAAATTCCTTGAAATCGGTTTTCAAATTAGTAGACTCACATCACTATTGTGCTTTGTGTTTGTGTAATCGTACTGTTTCGTTTTTTTTTACAGACTCTTTGCTTTGAGTATTGTGTAATGATACTGTGATTGTGAGTTTAAAATCCAATTTTACTTCAATACACCCTCAATTGTAATCAAAAGTGTAAAATTATTAATTTGTTGTGTTTATATAACTTTAACAACGATGTCTTTCATGGATTTTGTTCTTTAACGATACGATTTGTGTTTGTGAAAATTTGTGGGACAACAAGTGTAGTGACGCGCTATTGTAGACAGAGGGCTCAGCGAGCTAAAAATACACTGATACGAATTCTAATAGAAATTAGAAAATCTTCACTTCTTCTCTTATTTGTGATGTTCCCGCATCCCATCAGCGCGGAAGAACAGAAGTCGAATTTAATTCCGAGTGTGAATCTTCTCCATTCAAAAAGAAAAGGAATATTCATACACCCCTCTGCTATGTACAGAAGTAATGCACCGTGCTGCAAATATACAAGCACAGCATTTATAACGAGAAGTTTTAGAGGGTAAAGTACAACTCAAAATACTGAAGATGAAACTTTTGGAAAGCGGTCGCTTGGAAGCGCTTAGCCGCGCACTTTCGATCTTGAACGGCGACAGCGCCGTGCAGGGTCGTGTCGAAAGTTACAGCTGTAAGATGGCGGGAACCGAGAAAGCGTTCTACAAGCGTTTTACTGCTGATGGGGAGACCACCCATAACCTGCAGGCCCTGTCACCTCCGGAGGGGGTTACATACAGGTATGTTATTGTATACCTTCTTTATATACAAATATTTTTTTGTATTTGTTTGAAAGCATCTTGCAGTGGCAAATTTAATGAAACTCATATAATTCTTATTAGATTACTTTACAAAGAAAATGATAAGTAATAGAGGATCATTACATATTTACTTTTTTGTTACTACACTTTTAAAAATACCTACATCAACAGAAACTGTAATGTCAATGACACATATCTTGTAGCAATAACATTCTTACATAGTTGTTATTTACTACATAAAGATTGTATTTATCTGAGAGAGAGTATTTACAAAATATATTTTGATAGAAGTTTCACCGAGCTATATTAAAGCAAGCAATATAATTGTTATAGTCGCAGCCTGTCGGGAGATGAGGATGGTGTTCTCTGTGACACAATATCTCGGAAGACATTGTTCTATCTGATTGCAACATTGAATGCGGCATTCCCTGATTATGATTTTTCAATGGCAAAGGTAAAACATTTATTTAAAGTTCTTAAATAAATATTCTACATGTTTTTTGTTATTCTCTTTTGCTTATTTATGCTTGGTTTGCACTTAGCAAGTAGCACTCAACAACTGGACTGGTATGCAAATGGCATAATATTATTGTGTACAGGCTATGCCTTGCTTACACCATTGTCTAACTGGACAAATGTGAACCAGGCATTATTTTGTGAAAAGAAAAAATTAAACATCAATAAGAATATTTTCTTTTATCTTGTTATTTTGACTATCTAAAACATGATTTACTTTAAGGTTTTAATTTTATAATTCTGTAATATTTGTTACAATAATATATTGTAAACATCAGAGCAGCGAGTTCAGTGCGGAGCCGTCGGTGACTTGGGCGCAGGGTGCGGTGGACGCTGCACTCTCAGCAGTGGGCGGCGCGCGCTGGCGGCAGCTGCGACCGGCGCTATGGGCTGCTATAGATGACGAGGTGGCGCTCGCTGATTGCCGCATCTATAGCTATGGACCAGACCTTGCTAGTGACCCGTTCGGAGAGCCTGGCTGCCTCTGGACATTCAACTACTTCTTCTACAACAAGAAGCTCAAACGGATTGTCTTCTTTACATGCAGAGCAATGAGGTAATGAATTTCTGTGCACATAATTTCCTTAATATTACATTGTGTAATGCATAACTTTTTATACAAATTATTATAACATGACAAACTTTGCCAATAAATAGTTTTTGTTTGAAAGACATAACATTTTGATAACATTTATTTGTACTCCTGATACCAAAGATTTTTTCACGAAACAAAATTTTTAAAGTGTTATATGGATTTGATTCTATGAATCGCACTGTATATTATAGAAAAGATATACAGCATGTACATTTCCTTCTTTTTCTAGCCCTGTGTGCGCTGTTGACTCAGGCGTGGACTTTGCTATGGACGAAGATGAAGAATATAACTAAGTTATCATAACTTTATCTGTACTGCACTTATTTTTTCTTCTTTCATCATATATCTACAATTATATAACTAAGAGCTAGTTAGCAGAACATAGAAGATAATCTTTATAGAGTTAGTTATTGTAATTTACCAATCAACATTGTTAATAACAGAGGTGATTTTGTGTCAAGTAGTTCACAAATTTACAAACAGGATTTATTATAAAAATTAATGTAAGGGTTCAATTCATATTTAAACGAGTTGCAGGAATACCTTTCTATATGTTTTTGTTAGTGACTAGTTAATTGAAATTTTGTGTAGTATGTTTCAATCACAAATTTTTAATATTGGTGCTTGGTGTAGAGATTATAGAATCTATTTTATTTGCGTCGTCTTTGTCTACTCAAGAAGAGTAACAGTCATTAGAGGTTATTAGATATTAACAATTATCAACATTTTACTTTTGGAAGCAAAGGTACATGTTTCTTTACCGCAGTGAGAATCTTTCACATTCTTAACACTTGTCATGCCGAATGCATGTTCTTAATTTTGATCGAAATTAATATTAATGTAGTAAGTAATTAATACCAGATATTAATTATTTACGCAGTTGTTTCTTCATTAGACTAAACATTTGTTTACAAATTTTTACTCAAAATAAATAGTACATTATCAATTTTTGTTCAATCTAAGGTAGATTTAAGCATTTCTCTTTGTAGTTTTAAGAAGTGAGAACTTAAGTTTTAATAGTTTTTTAAGAAAAAAATCACTTTGTGTCCAAATGGCACAAGCAGATTTTAAATAGACTATTTTGCACAATTTTTGCATATAGCATTGTCACACAAAAAATAATCCATTCTCAATAAAGGTAAGTGTTAATAAATGTTGTAATTATTATAAGTTCTAACAACTAAAGATTTAGAACTAATGATCGATGCCCTAAGAGAAGTTTCAAGAAGATAGTTATTTCTACTTTATATAAATACTGCTGGAAGTAAAACAGTGTACAAAGGCGTTGATTACAGTATAATACTAAAAATCTGACGAAAAGTTGATAAAAAAAATATTGGAAATGGGTTGTTTAATTTTAACTTCCCATACATAAAATATTTATAATTTCTGGACATCTTTAAACGTTAAACATGGTTCATTCATATCTACTATATTAAATTTAATTATAATATTGATGATTATCGTAGCTAGGACTACTGATTATTTAACTAAATTTATTAATTCTTAACAAAGTTTAGATGTGATCTGTAATGTCGTAATTCCGCCTGTAATTTGTTTTGGCGTCTCCTTAAATCTTAGTTAACCTAAGTATGTATTAAATATATTTTCTTTCTCTAAATGTATTTTTATTTAATCCTTGAACCCCCTTCTCGTATTTTAAATTGCTTGAGTATGTGCACCCACACATATGATATATAATAATGGTGGGAATAAACAAACCTGTTTCGATGTAAATTCTCGATGAAGGATGTAAAAACTATGTTTTTTTTTTATTTAAAAATGCCTTGTTTTAAGAACAAATTGGCTGAGATTTATAAAAGTGCATAAATACACGCATACTTTTATTAATTGTTTTAATCACTACATACTAATGAAATCATTGATAAATCAAAATAACGATATTAAATAACATTTTCATAAAAAAACAAATTGATTTTTTAAAAAATATAATGACGAACAATCAAAATATATCTTTATCGTAATTTACAACAGTGAAAAAGGGGCTCTTAAAAGAACTTACATTAAGTAAATAAACAAAATCATGTCGAAAAATTATGTACATTACAAATATATGTACAAATTACATAATCTTATATTCAAGCCGGCTATACACATTCAGTTTTAACTGTGCAGTTAATACGGAAGGTGTATAGCGAGCTTTATAGTCCATATCAATTTCTCATACGTTCCTTATCGAGTTGTAAAAATCAGTAAACGCATGGAACCTTATAACAATAATTGGTAAGCGACCTGCGCTCGCCGGAAGACAACCATTGAATTTTTGACATTCTGGATTTATTACAAACGGATAGCATCATTAGGCGTCGTTAAAAAGTATTGTGATATAACCAGACGAAACGAAAATAACAAATTAGCGGCCGGCATCCGCATTGTACTTATCGATTTAAAATTATGGACTATGATATATCTGTAATTATAAAAAAAAAGGCACCATTAAATCATTAGAACCTACACAATGTGTTATGAAACAGACATGTGTATAAAAAATCTTATAAATTAGACTTTAAGTTTGATACTAAGAATATATTATCACATTTAAAAATTGATTTTTAAACTTATAATTGATACAAACAGATAAAAATTCTTACAAGTAGTATAACATTATACAAGTGCATATATCGGTGGGTTTCCATTGACGAAAAAACTTATGTATCTTATAAAAGATTATTTTCGTTGGTTAGTTCAATATGTAACATGTATATTGAAAAGAAATCTTTCTTACAAATATTCCGCCAGTGGAAGCCCACGGTTAGATTTGCAGGATAGTATATAAAATAAATAGGGAGTAGTTTTTAATATTACTGATAGTTTTAATTTTTTTTAATTCCTATCGAAATTAAACTCACAATTCTATAGACAAGTAAAACAGAATGATATTTTTACTTTAATCATGTTTGAAAATAGCACACGAAATTAAATTAATACGAAATTTAACTGCATTTCTTTACATAGATTGGCAGGATTTAGGAGGCAATCGCCAAGTCGAATAGTTATGTTTTTTTCAAGCTTATTCACTATAGTTTTTATGTTCTCTTAGTCCTATTTTAATTTTAGTGTAGAACATAGCCATTTGTAATATTACACTGTATTAATTTTATTCGTTTTATTCTATGAAAATCAGTAAATTAAAAAAAAAAACCTGTATAATTGAAAATTGAAAAAAAAAAAAGAAAACAGAACAGAAAAACATACATATAAAACTTTCAACCACAGTGTATATATCTGAATTCTTCAAGTAAAAAATTATGATAAATTAAATTGATTTAAATAGTTATGAAAATTGATTTTTAATATTAATCAAAAGTAAAACAAATGGCAGTCCCGATCTTACATATCAACCTTAACCAACTGCTAACTCCTATATTCGACAACAAGCGCCAAACATCTTCACTTTTATATATATAGATTTATTTTTAACTATCTAAAAAGCGGCTCGATAAACCATTTGTGTATATTCTAAATAAACATTATACAAGCATTTGGTATCTTAAGTCTATTCCCATAGAGTTCATTTAAATAAATATTATGCTATGTCATGACAATAACGTAATTTATATTAAAACGTGAGTTTCCTTCAGCCCTAAAGCAAACTGTACTTTATGCCATCAAGTCATTTAACATGATCAATGTAATTCTTAAGTATTTATTATTGCTTAGAATTGCTATAATGTGCGTTGTTAATAACTGTTGCAAAAAGTGACTCATGTTAAAGACATTTAACAATATTACAATAGACAGGACATTACAAACTAAACCATAGTGTCAAATAGGTACCACTGGTACTTCGGATGTTACAAATAACTAGCTTGAATTTTGTTATTTAGCGGTTCTGAGTTTATTGATTTGATTAAATTATTTGTAATGTCCTTTCTATAATATTAAATACTCTTTGATGTCAAACCAATCGGATCTATAGATTTGGAAATACATTACAATGTTCTTAATCTTTCAACCTACATACATGTAGTTACACGCACATACATTCTAAAACCCTTACCAGTCTTTATGCCGCATATTCCTACCTCTATTCATATTAAATTAAATTCTTCAAATAGTCACAAACACACTTCCTCTTGATGTGTGAACACAAGTATATTGACAATATACTTATAATTATTTGGCTAAAAATATCTCAAATCCCTAGATGCATATAATTTAAGTCTTTTTGCATAAAACATTGAAATCACTTCATTTTTAAATGAATCATATATATTTAACCAACATAATTTTCACGGGCCAGAAACAAAAGTAGTTTTAGAATATCTATCAAATAAAAACTTTTTATTTAATTATTTTAGTATGACTTTTAGTGGAGATAAGTTAACTTTTATAACATAGCTATGCATTATTACAATATGTACTGCATTATTGAAACAAACATGTCTGTGGGTCAATGGTCAAACTTGTAAGCAGTTAAGTAACTTAGAGGAAAAAAGTTACATTTCATAAAAGAACTCCTAAATCATAGTTGAAGTTCTGTTCTGACAGTTAGTTTGTTTATTTTAAATAAACAAACTGTCAGAACTAAGTTTATTTAGCATAAAAGATGTAACTCTTTTCGTCAGATAGGTCTATTGAGTGTAGTGTTAACATTTGTATGGGGGTAACATACTTGTGTAACGTCAGCGTTTGTCGGCGGGCGTGGCGCTGCCGGGTGCGACGTTGTTGGTGTTGACGTTGATGTTGACGTTGACGTTGTCGACGTCAGCGGAGGGCGCGTGGTGCGCGTGGTGCGCGGGGTGCGGCGTGTGCGCGGGGTGCGGCGTGTGTGCGGGGTGTGCGGGGTGCGCGGCGTGCGGGGAGCGCAGCTTGGCGCGCGGCCGCCACGCGTCCAGCAGCGCCTCCACGCGCTCCTCGGTGGGCCCCCAGCGCGCGAACCCCGCCGCGTTCTGCAGCCACACCACCACCGTGCCACCGCCCCACCGGAAGTACACCTCGTTCCTGATTACATCATTACTTTTATTAATGCTGAAATTGTTTGGTTATTTAGAGCAATCTTACTCTACTAATTCATTTATCTTTGTGGCTCTTAATTTCACGTGAGTCGCTGCGCAGAAAATAATTTTAGTGAGAAAAGTGCACTGCGCAGTGCTGATGACTTTTGGACAGCATGTTATTTGAAAATCGATAATAGGCAGGGATATGTTGAAAATTGAGAATATGAATTTACAATAAACTTACTTTGGAAGGACGTGTTGGAATCCATGACGATATTCATGTTCAAATGCTGGTATAACAACCTGAAATGTTTTATAGATTGTATATTTTACAATGCGTAATATATTACAATACACTTACAATTATTCGGCTAAAATTATCTCAAATCTCTAGGTGCGTTTAATTTAAGTATTTTAGCATTAAATATTGAAACCGTTAATTTCTAAATGTATCAAATGTTGTTTTTAACAGGTATAGGTGAAGTGTTGTTAGTTGTTAATTACCTGTTTCCTCTTGAAGTGGCTGGCCTGCAGCTTGTGCAGCGCGTGCGTGTGCCGGTCGGGCCACTCGGGCAGCACCACCACGAAGCTGAGCGGCTCCGCCGAGTCCTGCAGCAGGCGCTCCATGTGGCGCAGCGCCGCCTCCAGCAGCTCCTCGCAGTACGGCGGGTGCGCCACCAGCGACCCCGACACCGGCCGCAGCTCCAGGAACGGACTGACACACGGATTACCTTACTTTCACAAAAAGTCATGAACTGACTTCTTTTTTATTCATGACTGTTGGTCGCGACTTTGTCCACGTGAAATTGAAAAATACAGCCTATGTTACTTAGCGATACCATAGATTTTTAATGGTGTAAGAATTTTTAACTGGGCTAATCCCAGTAGTTGTTATTTCATATAATTTTATTTCATACAAAAATATGTATCTTTCCTCTTTATATTAGTATAGACAGCGACATTTTTTGCATTTCCGACTTCTACTCTAATTGGGATTTCCAACATCGTAGATAGTCTTAATTATCATGACTACGTAACAACGTGTACTAATGTAGGATAATTAATTTACATCGATGATTCAACAAAACAATTGGTTTGCTATTCAACACGCACACTGTAGTACTCAATGGTAGTAATTATAATAAGTAATTGAGTCATCTAAATTTAAAAATTATAGTTATGTTTAACGGTATAGCTAGATGTTTAGTCTTTACTAAATCAATCCCTTAGTGTATAGGAGCATCTCATTCCAATTCAACATTTAAGTCCCCTTTAGTGTTTATTAAACCACTCTGAGGTAAATTAGTCTCAATAGGTTTCACCGACTAACCATCAAATTGATCTAATTTAAAGTAGGTTCTAGTACATCTAAGTGTTTTTTATACTTTTGGGGGACAGAGGTAAAAGTTGGTTACATCCATTTATGTCGCTTTTATAAAATAGGTAAACTAGTATATGCAAATATCACCATACATTTGTGGATTATTCCTTACCGTCACCATGCTCTGTGCCCACGTGGCGACAGATGAGAATAAAAAGTTTCATCCGTCCCACCTTATGGAATGAAGGGATGCTTGAAACTTTTTTATTTCTTAACGGTTCCATCTGTCACCTTATTGGTAATAGTGGGACGGATTAAGCTTTTTATTCTCATCTGTCGCCACGTGGGGACAGATCGGGGTGACGGTTGGGAATAATCCAAATTCGTGAATTTAAAAGTAGTCACCCTCTGGAGCCGAAGTATGAGTCAGTGTCAGCGAATGCGGAGCAGTACTGGCGGAAGTAGCAGTCGAGAGGGCTGGCGAAGCACTCGAAGGTGACGCCGAAGCAGCGCTGCAGGCACTCCAGCACGGGCACGGGCAGCGCCATCTGCGCCAGGTGCGCCTCCCCGCCCGCGCCCACCCACGCCGCGTAGCGCCGCAGCACGCACCACACCCGCGACAAGAACTGCTCGAACTTCTTGTCGTCGAAGCAGCTGTACCTGTACAGGCACTCCTGCGACACACATTGCACTATCTTCATTACATAACATCTAACTAAACACACTACTATTATAAATGCGAAAGTTTAGATGGAAAAGATTTAAAAAAATCTATTAAAGATCATAGTTTCTGTAACCTTTTTAAAATTGTAAGCCTTTTAGCAATTTTTATTGGTTATTATTGTAATAAAAAGTTACCCTTGCTCGCTTACTATTAAAAAAATACCCTAGCTGTGTTGGGTAAGAAAAACATTTTCAACTGTAGGTATGAAAGATACAAATTCTTAAACAAGTTTAAAACCAATGAGTCCTACTTTTTATATTTACCTGGATAATGTGTCAACAACATTACCATTCTTGATTATTATATTACTAGCTACTGCTCGCGACTTCACCCGAAAAACAATAAAATATATAGCCTATTTTTGTCACTGAAAGCATAGCTTTTTAATGGTGAAAGAATTTTTGAAATTGGCTTAGTAGCTTTTGAGTTATCACAATACTCACAAAAATACAAATCATTTCTTTTTATATTAGTATAGATATATATAAAATTGTTAGAATATTTTACCAATTTCTGTAGATAAGTGGCATTGATGATCTGCGTGTCGCCGAGGTAGCGCAGCAGCGCCTGGTCGCGGTCGAGGAAGTGTTCAACAAGAGGCGCGCGCGGCGCGGGGATGCCGCACTGCACCGGGTAGCACCACACCTTGCGCAGTGCCGCCTGCTGTAGCGGCGCAGTCAGCTCCTGAAGCACACGCATGGTCGTGGTTTTTTTCTTTTCTTTTTGGCTTTCACTCTTAATTGTACTTAGTCACCAGTTGTGGTCCAGTGTCTCAGTGGTTTTTTTGTGTGCTTAAAGTGGTTACCTAAGTTGTAATCTGCAGTTTTGGATTCAATCATTTACCAATGTTGTGTTTTAGAATGGTTTTGTATATACTTATCGAATCTACTTAAGCTGAAGGAAAACATTACAATGTGACCTAAGCCAATCAATCTGCATTGTGTCAGTGTGGTTGATACTACGAGGGCAATATTATTAAAAAAAACCAAATGTCTCAATTTAGTAGTTTTAAATTTCAATAGCAAACTATAAACCTAGAAGAAGAATGTCATATCACACTTTGTAGGAACTATAATAAAAGTGTTGCATTTTGTATATTACCTGAATTCCATTTTCTTTTAATAAAAAGCTGTGTTTTTCTCTAATTTTTCTTGCATATTCCGCTGATAAATGATAAATTTTTAGACAAATTCCTTCCACTGATGCTTTTGCTGTTTCAGCTAAATGAGGTTGGCATTGTCTCTAAAAAAAATATAAGATCAATTTGTTAGTATGCAGTACATATTTAGAATTTGAACCTTTTCATTGTACAGGAATTGATTTATTTGCTTTTTATTTTTGCCTGTTATTAATATGACTCAGTTTTCTAAATGCTTTGTTTTTGCTAACTTGTCCCTCACCAATGTAAATTAATATCAAATTTATACATTGAAACAGAAGTTTGAGCTGGTCTGTGAGACATACCCTTAGATGAGCCAATCTATCTTGAAAATCATCATATGTAGCTCCGACAGTTCTCCGCAGCCACTGAAATGTATCCTCTGCATTCCATTTCACTACTTTACGACTCTCCGGTGATGCATTCCGTGACTCTATCATTTTCTTTGCTGCCTCAGCATACCGAGACAATTGTTTTCGAGCATCGCCCGTAAATTTCGTATGTGTCAGCTTTATTGGAATATCATTCATTATTTCTTCATACATAGATCTTGATATTTCAGGAAAGCAGTGACTAGGCAACAGAGGATCTGATCCACCTTGATCGTTAACCTTTCTCTCCATTAACCAACGATTAAATGAATCCTTTGGCGCATCTATGCTTTCTCTTGTGTGACACAACTCTTGATAACACTGCCTCAGTTTATTTGCTAAAGTGAATCTAAATCCTTCTATTTCCGGATGGGGATGCGGACATATAGTCGGTGGACGTTCATATATTACAACATTTGTTGGAACTTCTATATCCCAAGGTCCAGCCAAAACAAACTTCTTTGGGGGAGGGCCATTATCCTCGGAAGGTCGTCGTTTGCTAGCACTTGGTGTGATACTACCAGCAGGAGGAGGTCCTGTGTGGCATATGCCTAATGGGTCTGTAATTGGATCAAAATCTCTTTTTACTGCTGGCAATTCCCACATTGATTCTCCTGATATTTTATTCCAAAAGTATGGTCTATTCTCTCGTTTAGACCAATACTTTCGCCATCCTTGTTGCAGAAGGTCAGGATGCAAATCTGTAGCGAGATGCTGGGCTAGGGGCACCGGAGCTCCAGGAGTTTGAGGGGTTTCTCCGCCGGTGCTTGGTGATGATTGCGTTTCTGGCGGTGGTTCACTGTGCGTAACGCCACCCTCCCATGTCGAGGAACCGGCAGACACTTTGTCACGGACATCATTCATCATGTATTTTCTACAAATTATTAATAGTAGGTACACAGTAAAATAAAAATTTAAATAAAGTTGTAATCAAAACTGCAAATTGTATCTATAGTCAGATTTTCCAATAGCACTAATTAACTAATAAGTTTCCTATAAGAGCAATATCTTTGTTGATATTCATCGTATTGTTGCCGCCAAGACAGAGTGCAAGAGAAAATTCATAAATTTTATCAAAACACATGATAATAATCGAGAACTTATATTTCAAACTGTTGAATTTATGTCAGAAAAATTATTAACATGAATGATATATTAACACTCTATTTTAAATCAACAATTTACGCGAAGAACATATTTTTTTGTTATAACTCGGCGAAACGTATCACTTCCCAAGCATCGCCATCCTTGCACAGATTAAATCAGTTGGTGTTGAAAAAGTAGATTCTACAAAGATCCTCTGGAAGACCGAGTTGAAAATGTAAAAAATTGTCATTATTACAACAGTATTTTTTTATAAAAATGTCTAATTAAAAAAATATGAATAATGCAAGAGATTTTATTTTGCGAAGGAAAACTCATTTCCTTCTTCCTTCAATCATTATCGGAATTATGGCACTGAATTATATTTTCAACTTTTAAACAATTGCGTTTATCATTTGTTGTTTTTCTTTTACATGTTAAATACCTAATTTTCGATGTGGGCATTTAGCAACAAACAAATAGCTCTAAATATAAAACTTAGCAAAAATATTTAAATTGGTCATCAATATCCGACATGGTTCTTTATGCTTTTTGACAGTTTTCTGTATACTCTTTGGTTTTGGCATGACTTTGACAAAACACAAACATTAAAAATTCTAGATGAAACGTATTTATTTGATATTTATTATTGCATAACATTTGTATAAATCTGAAATCGTCGTAAAGCTTACTTTGAAATATGAATGAAATTGAAATCGGGTCCGAGCAAACCTGTGTTCCAGAACCCGATTATACTAATTGTTTGATATCTGTTCAGAATGGTAGTAACTTGTCGTATGATTATTTTTTCGAGGATTTCATTTTGAATAATTTACCATGTGTTGTTAAAAATGTAAGCTTAGATTGGAATTGTTCCAAGCAATGGGTAAAAAATGGAGATATAAATTATGAGCATTTTATTATTGAATATGGAGACTTAGAAGCTCCTGTCGCAAATTGTAATAAATTGAATTTTAACGCGCATCCCAAGCAATGTATGAAAGTGAAAGATTACATGTCTTATTTAAGTAGTAGTAACAAAGATGAACTTTTATATCTTAAGGACTGGCATTTGAGAAGACTAAAACCAGATGATATATTTTATGAAGTACCTAAAATCTTTGCATCAGATTGGCTCAATGAATATGCACAAGATAATAAGGAAGATGATTTTATGTTTGTATATATAGGACCAAAAGGATCTTGGTATGTTTATTGGAAATGTAGTAGTAGCCATTGTTTGAATTTTTTATTAGTAAGTTTTGGTTCATCAATTTATTCACAAAAGCAACAACAAGGTAAAATTGGTCACCTAACAGCATTGACTATGTTTAATAGGAGATCATAACTAGGATTTTAGTAATGAGAGTAAAAGATTTACCAAAAACACTTGTGGCACAAGGAAATATGATATTTTCTTTTTTTTCAGGACTCCTTTGCATTGTGATGTTTATTCATCATATAGTTGGTCAGTAAATATAGTTGGCAGAAAGAAATGGATTATGTTTCCTCCTGGTGAGGAAAACAAACTTAAAGATAAATTTGGCAACTTACCTCCATTATTTGATTCAAAAACATATCCCAATGTGAAGTATTTTGAAGTGACTCAAGATAAGGGTGATGCAATTTTTGTACCTTCAGGATGGCATCATCAAGTTGAAAATACACTTGATACAATATCAATTAATCATAACTTTATTAATGGCAGTAATTTAGAATTTGTTTGGGAAGCCTTTAAAAATAATTTGTCTTCTGTTGAAAATGAAATCAAAGAGTTTAGTAATACTCCCTGTTTTGTTTCTCAGTGTCAACGGATGCTAAAAGTTGTATTTGGTATGGACTACACAGCATTTATTAAATTTATCACATATATAGGTGAAAAAAGAGTCCAACAATGTCATGGCGCAAAACTATATAGTTTCAATAAGTTCCTTTTAGGAATAAATCATTTGAAGTTTGATTTACATATTTTAATAAAAATATTATATCAAATACAGCAACATCCCTTATATCAAAGTGATTACCTTATACCAGATGAAAAAAACAATGTAGAGGATATGATTAACAATATTAAAGTATTACTCAATTAAGTATTCAAATTATTACTCAATCAAAGTTTAGCTTTCTTATCTGCTTTAACTATGCCCTTGTTGATCAAGTCATTGATTTCATTGTTTTTATACCCCAACTCTTGTAGTATTTCAATTGCATTTTCATCACCTTTTGGCTGAGGCTTTTTGCCCGAGGAAGTTCCTGGAGTTGCTGACAACTTCGGTGCTGGTTCTGGTACAATAAAATTGTCACTGTCCTTATAAAATGAGTTTCTTGATATGTTGCACTGATGTGCATCCACAGCATCAATATCAAGGACAGGGGTTACACAAGCATCAAGTTTATCGAATATATTACACCATTCTTCTTGAGTTTTTCTCAAAAATACCTCCTGAAATTTTTCTCTGTGCTGATTATTATCTTCAGGCAAATCATCATCAGATAATTCTAACCCCTTTAATAAATTTGAGTAAAACTGTGGTTCTAATGCACCAACAGCCATAAATTTATTGTCTTTTGTTCTATAGGTTGCATAAAATGGTGCTCCACCATCAATCAAATTTGTCCCTGGTTCCCCTTGCCAAATTGGTAATTTCCTAGATTTAAACACCCATGTTCCTAAATATGCAGCTCCTTCAGTCATACTGCAATCAACAACTTGTCCCTTGCCAGATTTACTTCTTTCTAAAAGTGCCATTAGAATCCCAACAACACACATTAAGCTACCACCAGCGAAATCAGCAACCAAATTAAGTGGTATAAATGGTGGTTCATCATTCTTTCTAAATAATGAAAGCAGTCCCGACATAGCGACATAGTTTATATCATGGCCACCTTTATTCTTGTAAAACCCATTCTGTCCATAACCAGATAACCTAGCAAATATCAACTTTGGATTCATTCTTGATACTGATTCTGGACCTAATCCTAATTTTTCCATAACCCCAGGTCTATAAGTGTCAATCAGAACATCTGAAGATGAACACATCTTGTTAACAACTTGAACACCTTCTTCAGTTTTCAAATTTATTTTTATAATTTTTTTTCCATTTGTCATAACATCAATTGTATTGGCTATGCTATCAATCTGTAAACGGAAAACTATTTTTAACTTGGTTTATTTAACAAGATTCTTCTTAATGGCAATTAGTGTTAGTATTAAAAAGAACTAAAAGTACATCAGAAAAAGAGTAAGCCTTACAATATATGGAGCGAGTCAATAAATCTTACTACTTACTACATTATTAATGCAAAATTTTGGATGGATGGATAGAAGTTGTTAGAATTACTGTCTGAACGGGTCTGGAAGAACATATAGTTTACTTACTTTTGATTGTAACCTAGTTTTGAAAGTGTAATTGACCATGAATTTAAGTAGATAAGAAGATGTTCAGGTTTGTGATACATCTATATGGGTCCAGGTGATTTACTCATTTGATTTGTTCTAGTAAAAGTGTACTTTCACTGACCTTTTGTATTACTGTGACTGATGCACCAAAATCAGCAAGAATAGTCCCACAGAGAGGTCCTGGAGCTAACCCCATCATCTCAATCACTTTTACACCTTTAAGAGCCATAGTAACTCCCAAAACTCTTAATGTTTATTAAAACAAAATAATCAGGTTAAAAGTCTAAAGTCTACTTCTTAAGGAAGTGTTATCAGTACTTTTAAGTGTATTTATATATACAGTTTTTAATTTACAATGGGTATGCAGGTAAACAATACAATTTCTCATTTTTTTTTCTTTGGGATATTTAATTTAATAAATATTACATACCTACATAATTAAGTATTTCGATTCAATTTAAATTACAATGCAAACAGTTTAAAATACAATTTAATGTAATGGCTTGCCACCTATTAAATTAGTTGCCACATTGTTTGATATTTGCTAGAACACAAATAGCATGTAGGAATCGCCAATGAGTTATGTGTTATGTCATAATCCTTTAAGTATAGTAAACTCAAAGTACCCAATTCGCTGGTATTTTCTCATCATCTACGAAAGTCACATAAAAGCGTGACACGTTAAAAGCGAAATATGAATAAACTCGCAGATCAGTTATGCTAAATAATAAACCTTTCCCTTGAGTACAAAATAAAGTTGTAACTAATTCATACCGTAAACATTCCGAAAACACAGAGAAATACCTAAAGGAAAATCCCCGCATTTCCCAACGTGGGAAAATAGTTGCCACCCTAAAATCATTTTTTGTAATCTATGGTACTGAATACTACGCATTAGGTATATTTAATCTGTATTTATCTTATAATCTGTAAAGTTAAAATTGAATTTGTTTATGGTTGCCGATTGCTTTTGCTTTGCTAACGCTTTGTTGAGTTATCGAGTGATTTGTATTAAAAAATCTAATTTGGATCTCGGATAAAACTAAAGTAAAATAATAAAAAACACATGTTTTTAATTTAGTCATTTAGATATTATTACAGCATTTTATACTGGTACGCTTTATTTTTTAGAGTGAATCCAAAATGTCCGTGGCTTTTGCGCCAAGGGGAAATAGACCACCTCTGACTCCTGCACAAATTCAGAAAATGTTAGATGAAAACGCTCATTTAATACAAACGATTCAAGAATATCAGGCAAAAGGCCAGTTAATGGAATGTCACCAATACCAGCAAGTTTTACATAGAAACTTAGTTTATTTGGCATCAGTAGCTGACGCTAATCAAAATATTCAAGCAATTCTACCGGTAAATAATTGTATTATATCGACGTCTTTTTTTTTTTTTAGTTAACTAAGATCATATTGAGAGTTTAATTTTATTATTCATTATTTTCTTTGCTGTACTTCAAAATTATTTGCACTATGTAAATTGTAATAAAATACACATCCAAATTCTTACTTATAATCAAATTATTTTCTAAAACACGAAACTGGAGTTGATATTTCAATGTCAAATTCATGATTGTGTAATTTTATTCTTTTAATGTTGCAGCCACCACACCAGCTGGCTGCTGGTAATGTTCCACAAGGACCGATGAATACTCCATCAAGTGCTGCAGAAGTGCCAGGATCACCACAACAAGCATACAGACCTCCCTCAGGAGTTTCCACAGCACCTACCAGACCAACACAGTCTTATGGACAAAGGCCATATCCACAAAATCAATATCAGGGCCAGTATCAAGGAGCCCCAGGTGTTTATCCTCCCCAAGGTGGATATGGTCCTCCTAGTCAAGGTTATGGACCACCAAATCCATCACAACAAGGCCCCCAAGGATATGCTCCTAACTCTACTTATGGCCCTCCCATAACTACAACACCTAGCAATTATCCACCATCTACGCATCCAGGCCCAGGGTATCCACCATCAACAGCTCAACAGCCATATGCACCTCCACCTGGTAGTCCAGCTGCTTCAGGGTCGCCATACCCAGTTCGTGGTGCAAGTCAGCCTGTTTATACTGGCAATTCTGCATACCCACCTCCACAGTCAGGTGCAAATTATCCAAATGTTAGTGTTAGCACTTACAACTCAACATCTGCTCAACCACAGCCATATCAATCTCAACCATTTCCAAACACTACACCCACTTCTGCATATAGCTCCACTCCGATTTCTCAACCAAACCGGTCCCCTCAGCCACCTCCTAGTGGATATACATCGCAAAATCCAACAAGTTCAGGCTATGGTTCTCCATCAGCACAGTCACCTACTTATAATTCCAGTTCTCACGGAAACAACGCTCCTCCTTCAACTGTCGCATCTGGAGTGCAATCTCAAGGTGGTCCACCTGGACAGCAGTATCCACCTTCCGGGCAACCATCACCCTATCCTCCTGCCACACAACCACCATATTCTAATCCTTCCTCGCAACCTGGTAGCCCTGCACCGTCAGTGTCGACTGCACCCCCACCACAATCTACATATCCCCAGAATCCACAGAATTATCCACCCAGTGGTGGGGCGTATCCTCCGCATGCTTATCAGCAAGGTTATCCTCCTTCTCAATATCCTCCATCTCCATATCCATATGCTCGGGCTCCAGCGCCTGGGGCTCCTCCCTCTGGTGCACCACAGCCATACCCAGGCTATGGTTTCCAACCTCCCAACCAGCAATAGATCTAATTAAATAGGAATAAATAAAATATTATGCCTGATGTTTAAAGAAGTTCTGCTCAAATGCTGTGTGTAATCAAAATACTTTTTTTTGTTGTCACTAGTATTAAGTGTAACATGTGTTTATAGCAATTGATTGGACATAATTGTATATTTATCTTATTATGTGCTTTGATATTACATGTTTTGTCTATGTAGGAAGTTTAAATTAAACTAAAATATACATCCCAATAAAATTTAGGAAAGTAGAACAAATGTTATAAATCAAAATTAGGTAGCCTATAATTTATAAGTGATTATTGAATTAAATGATTTTCTTATTGAAAAAAGTTTTGTTTTTATCAATTGTTTTAGTGCTATTGGGGGATTTAGACATAATTTGGGTATTAAATTTCATATAATAAAAGATGAACTTGATAAAAAAAAAAAAAAATTGTCATATCTAATTTATTAGTAATAAATCAACTACACTTCATCATATAAGATTGTTTCTCCTTCAAATGGATGTATAGACTCATCATAGTATTCTAGCGGCAGGTCATCACTGGCCGGGTGGGTAGGAAAAGGTGGTGCAGTTTTCAGTTTCTTAAGAGGTAGTACAGTATCATACAAGTAGCAGACTGCTCCTGTCTCCCCAGGGATGCCCACTCCTAGCGTCCAAAGGATATTATGCTTTGTATTTATTCGGAGTATTTTCACACCTCTCAATGTTCTCCACCTAGAAACAAGAATGTTTAAATCATACTAATATTATAAATGCGAAAGAAAGAAAGAAATGGATGTTACAGTTTGTAGTCTAAACGGATTTCAATGAAAATTGGTATAGATGTAAAGGATAGTATGGATGAACACATAAGCTGCATAGTTTTTTTTAATCCAAGCGGGCGAAAGCTAGTATTTTATAAATTGTTTCAAATTATTACTCTCATGAACAAGTACTGAAACAAAACTTACAGAAGAATATTAAAATTCATCATTAAACACTTTCGTAATTGCCACTTACAATATGACAGATGTCTGACTATAATGGAATACAGTGTTTCAGAGTGACCTCAGATGATGTATATTTAAATGATTTAGTTTATTAATTGATGATTGTACAGACCTGTTACCCATGTGACCAGGCATTTTAGTACCAGGCCATACTCTAGCCTTTTCTCCACCCCCTCCTATGTTACCTGGTCTCCTATGTGTTTTGGTAACACCATGGGATGCAGGCATACCACTAAATCCCCATCTCTTCATTACACCTTGAAACCCTCTGTCCATGCTATAACATATATTTTTTTTAATTAGTATACCTTCAACTTTGTGTAATAATAATGTTTAAATACAACTATATTCAACATTTCATATACACAGATTCAACATTAAGCCATCCAAAAATATACTCACGTTTTAGCTCTAACATCAATGTGATCACCAACTCTAAAATGTGTGGCAAACAAAGGGGTGCCAGTTGGTAATGCTGCATGTGGCGAAACCATAAATCTGAATAAATGGCGCTTCGGCAACATTCCAACACTGTTAAATATACCAGAATATTCTTTGGTAACTGTGCTGGGGTCTAAAGTTTCTGACCCGACTAAAAGACAACCTAATGTTTTCTTTTCTTTCCACTGTACTTTTGTTGTTTTCATAGGATTAAATTCCTCTGGAGGTATATACTTTATGACATGATTATCAACTACCTAAAAATAAATATATAAATGTAAAAACAATGGCAGAATAATAATAATTTTATTTGTATTACAGCATGACAATATAATCATGATATAAGTTAGGGTCTGATGAGGGTTGGTAAATAGCGAAGATAATTACAATTTTTCCCAAAAATTCCTCCCACCCTATTAAAATTAGGACAAGTAGTAATAAAATAAAAATTCTCACCTGCAAAAGTGTTGTTTGAAATTTCTTTCCTTCTTTTGACCATAGTGGATAGTTACCAATTTTTCGCGCTATTAAACCAACTCTTCGTGTAAAAGGATTCCATTCATTTGTCTGTTGTTCTGCAAGAGCTAAAGGAGATTCTAATGTAATTTGTGAATTACGTTTATCTTGTATTATTTCTTCAATAAAATCTCTATTTTCTTGCGTAAGAAGATCTTCACTCATCTATTAAAATAATTCAATAATAGAAATTTAATAACATTCTTGCAATTTTTTAATTTTATGAAACAATATTATACACATAATACTTACCACTCTTTCTTTAGGTACAAACCAATGTGGAGGTCGATATTTTGGAGGTTTATAATATGCATTTTGTCTTATAGGAATGTGGTCAACTCTGTAACATATTTTGTGACTTTAATTTAAAAATATACTATGAGATAACTAACAACATACTTTAGATTTCTATATACCTTAACCTACTAAGGGTTGAGCACAATATTTTCATATTAGCTGTGGCCATTATGCTAAAAGCTTATATTCTTTTAAACGCAGGAAAAACAATGTTTACATAGTCTGAAAATAAATAATCGCAGATCATGGATGTATTATTACCACCGTCACAGATTTAAAAGTGAAACATAACATAACCTACAAAATTTTAGATTTTTATGACATAAAAGATAAAAATTGCCAGAATCAAAATGTTACCAGGTTACCAGATGATGAAAACAGTCATGAGATAACCACATTTATTTTTATGCACTGTGGAGATAATCTTTGAATTTGACATTGACAATTCAATCGTTGAATTCAATGATTGCGAATTCAGCTGCTGTGATTACAACAAAAATAAATACATTACTTATCAAATCATTCTCTGTCGGTATATTTATTAATTTAAACTAAAATGGAATATAAAATATGGAAATACTTTATCATGTTAATACATTTATCAAGTGCATTTGAAATAGAATTAACTGGGCCGGGTTTACATCCAAAAGATATTGTGATGCCGGCTAGATATTTCTTTGTTAATTTCACTTCTTTTAACGAAGACACGTGAGTAGGCTTATTAAATAAGGTATATGATAAATCCAGATAAAAATTCTATGTAATAACGACAACATAGCCGTTAATTTCTTTTAAACAAAGCTTCCCAAAAAAACTACAGATATGATTTGGATTTGCTATAACCAATACAAATATAAAATGTTAAATGGAAAAACCACTGACCTGATAATTCATGACAAAATTCTTCAATGTTACCTATGTTGAGAAAAAAAAACTTCGATGTATGAAATGGGAATGTAATTTTGTATGAATGTTTTTGATAAAAAATGTTATCTTTCAGCTATACACCAGATTTTGGAAAGAATTTTGCCGTCGAGATAAATGGAAAATCAGTGAAAAATAACTTTTGCCGAGTTTGGGTTAACACACTTGACAGAAAGGATGGCACCTTTATAGTTAGGTATAAGGTTTATGAAACATGTATGGATCTCAAAGTTTCCATTTATTACAAAAGCAAGCACATAAATGAGTCTCCATTAACATTAGAAGGTATAATTATTGACAGATACATTTTTAATTACTATATAACTTTCATTTTCTTTATAAAACCAATTTATTCCAGGTCCTATTCTAGCAGATCAGTGTGATTGCCCAAAGAAAGACTTTGATTTATGGTTAAACAATTATCAATGTCTCATCTCATATCCAAGTATTATTCGAGACCTAGAACCGTTTGACAACCAAGATATGTTGAAACAAGTAAAAAAGATTGTAGATAAATATCATAAACCTGAAAGCACAAGTTTTTGTCACTATGTCATAAAGAATAATCAAATATATAGGGATTGTTATGGCAAGCATGTTGGATTTAATATGTTTACTGACAATATCTTATTGTCCCTGACAAGGAAAGTTGTACTACCTGATATAGAACTGGTTATTAATTTAGGTGATTGGCCATTGATACATAAAGACTCAGAGCCACTTCCTATGTTCTCGTGGTGTGGTAGCAATGACACTTTGGATATTGTTATGCCAACTTATGATATAACGGAATCTGCATTAGAAAATATGGGAAGGTATTTAAATTATTTCTGTCTATGTTTAAGGTCATTTGCCATTATTATACTTTTAAAATGCTTTACAGAGTTACTCTTGACACATTATCTGTGCAAGGGAATGTGGAAAAGAAGTGGGAAGATCGTAAGCCTATGGTCTTTTGGCGAGGACGTGACTCGCGCGCTGAGAGACTTAAATTGGTTGACATTGCAAGAGAAAATCCTGAACTATTTAATGTATCTCTTACGAATTTCTTCTTCTATCGAGAAAAGGAAGCACAATATGGTCCAAAACAACCACATGTGTCATTCTTCAAGTTTTTTGATGTAAGTTATTTTGTGATCAGTATAATTATTTTTTGACCGACTTCCCAAAAAGGAGGTACTCAATTCGTCTGTATGGTTTTTTTTTGGGGCAACTATCCTTGGTCTACTCTCAAAACTTGTAAATTAAAAAAATATTTTGTTATTGTTGCAGTACAAATATCAGATGAATATTGATGGAACTGTAGCAGCATACAGATTTCCTTACCTTCTTTCTGGAGGTGGAATGGTTTTGAAACAGCAGTCTCCATATTACGAACATTTTTATAGTCAACTTCGTGAATGGGAACATTACATTCCAGTTGCACGTGACTTGAGTGATTTAGTTGAAAGGATACATTGGGCAAAAGAGAATGACGAGAAGGCTCACAACATAGCTGATAATGGTCGAAAATTCGCACAAGAAAACTTACTTCCTCAACACATTATATGTTATCATGCATTACTATTCTCTGTAAGTAATCATGTATTTATTTTATATAACATATAAGTGAAATTATTTAACTTTATGGCTTATTTCAGGAATGGAGTAAGAGGATATCAAGTGAGGTGACAATTCGTGAAGGAATGACCCATGTACCACAACCCACATTTGAGTGTAACTGTCCATTAGCTCAAGAGATTAACCGAGAAGATTTATGATAATCTCAGCAAAAGAAAAAAAAATCTGTAGAACTAGAATAGTTAATTTAAATTAGAAGAGTGCCTTAAGTACATAGAGTACAAGATTGTTTTAGTATGTAGAGTAGGTAAAGTAAGAAAAAACATTGCTATAAAATTTTAATTCCTTTATTTTTAAATAGTAATGAAGCAACTTTAAAATGTACATATAGTTATTTATCTCCTATTAAATGGAATCTACTTTTTCAGTACAAAACAAATAAGATCAAAAACTCATTATAATTAAAGGTTATTCTTTTTTAATGAAAATGGTAAATAAATAACAAATATTAATATTTGCTTGGTAGAAAACAGCTACATATAATTTTTTAAATATTCTACAGTGTTAGAAACAGTCAACTTCACTTGTAGTATTATTTAATAAATAAAAAGTATATATTATTTATTATACATCTACACTAGTTAAATATTCTAATAATACATTTTTTTCTAACATCTAAATTTTTGTCTTTTTAATATTAGACTTTTTTATGTTAACTTTTTCTATATTATGTTTTTTAAAATCTGGATAAGATATATATTTTTTTAAATAATAACATACATTGTTACATCATTATTAAAATATACTACTAGGGTAGATATAAGAAGGAAAATCATTACGTTCAATAGCAGTACTGTGATACGAGAGCAACACTGGAAGTTTTTAGATTTGGCTACTTTTAAAGAATATAACAAAAAAATAAGTTTAAAACCTGAAAATGGCACTCTTTTAATGTATTGATTTCATTCATTTGTCAATTTAACGTGAGAAAATGTTCGTACTGTGATTTGATATCTTTTGCTGCCATTTAAGTCAACAAGAATGTTTATGACAGACTTCGATTAGCCTTTTACGATGAAGCCCCTTCTCGTCCCACTGTTTGTTGGTTTAAAGAATTTAAACCTAATCGTACCAATCTCAAGTGTTTCTTTCCGAGGAGTTGTCCACTAAATTGAAGAGAGGTCGAAGTGTAGGAAAAAAGATGGTGCCCTCATTCTTCAAAAGGACCTATAATTATGCCATAATTGTTTAAGAAGATTAAAAGTCAGTTACCGCAGAGTGGTATGCTAACAAATGTTTGCCACTTGTCTTGGTAAAAGTTCGGGAGAAACAACATCGCAGTAGGATCCTCCTTCACCACGACAACGCCTCCTCCCATACCGTCGGGAGAACGATCGACAATTTCTCGTAACCAGATGTGAAATTGCTGGTTTACCCGTCTTGTAACCTCGACCTCGCAACTTGCGTTTTTATTTATTCCCGAAAAAAAAAAACATGCAGGAAAAAAATTTATGGAAGTCAAGGAAGCAGTGACTCCCTTCCAGAAGGCCGTCGAAGAGACCCTAAGGACGAGTGGGCAAAGTACTTTTCTCGGTGGTTATATCGAATGCAGCGATGTATTGATCTGAATGAAAACTATTTAAAAGTATATAATAAAAATAATGACTTGCTTATTTGCTCACTTTTTGATTTTCTTAGAACTTTCAGTGTGACCCTCGTATCCACGCTGGTCGCGTTAGAAACGAATAATAAACTAGTCTGTCAACTGATAAAGTGTTTTAATTGTTTGCTTTCTTTATAAACTTCTAACTGGCGATGAGGATTTAAAAAAATTGTGTTTTTAGGGAGTATAACCTCTTCCGACCATAAAATGTCGGCGTGGTCAAAATACAAAGGGTGACTGACTCAGTGTTTGAAGATCAATAAGATTGAATATAGCGACAAGGGTGGAGTTTTGCTAACACATGTCACGGACGATACACACCGGTTGATCCATAACTTGGCTTATCCGCAAAAAGTTGAGACAGTTATGTTGAACTGGTTTTATTATTGGTCGGGCACTTTAAGCCGAAATTATGCACTTTTGCCGAAAAGGCGAATTTTTATGAATCGTCAAAAGGTTCAGGCCAATTATTGGGATAATGGGCGGCGCTACTAAGAGGTATCGCGAATAATTGCGATTTCAGCGCCGCTCCGGAAACCACCTTAAGGGATAGTTTCGGCCTGGTCCCGGGCGCGAACGCGAGAGGTTGTTCGAGCAGAGCCCGTCAACATTGACGCTCACATGGGCAATCTAACTGGCGGAGCAGGCAGCGTATGCAAAGCAAGCGAAGATGGGGTGCAGCAACGATGCGATGTTCGCCAAGGAGGAGCCGATGTATCAATTAGTACAAGAAACGAACTGCGAGACGAGATCTCGCACGCTGCAAGGTGTGCGGAATGAAGAACCACGACAGCGAAAAGTGTCGATACAGACGGTACACTTGTTTGTTATTGTTGAAAAATTCGGAAAATAGGGCCATTTAAAGAAAGCATTCAAATAAACACTTTATATGATGTTGATGGGGTATCCACGTTACTGCAGCGCGTCTGCCATGTTTGTGGACGTTCGTGTGGAAGGGTTCGATGCCATCATGCAAAAGCGCTGCGCCTCCTTAATGCAGCGAGTGCGTCACAGCACCAACACCATCCTGAGTGCGTTGATGGATAGGTGGGACTGAGCGGTGCTGGCTCGCTGGATCCGGTTACACGTAGACTAGTGTTTGCTGGCCTCGCTGTCTTACAGCATCGTTGTGGCACTGCTTAATTATTATATGCAAAATGTTTGTGTGCAATTTCTACTAACACTAGTATAAGTTCGAACACTAACACTCTATGGATCATTGTTATACGAAATAAATCAATACTATTATTATTTATTCAGTTGACAGGCTTGTATATTATTTATTGTTAACGCGACCAGTGTGGACATTACACGTACAATGTAAAGTTTAATTGAAAACACTTTTATAGTCAACAACTCGAATGATTATTAAATGTCATGCGATATTTATTCCCTCTAGAGTAAGGTTATTATATTTATTATTATTTTTTATAATTATTAATATTTTATTATTATATTATAATTATTATTATTTTTTTGGTAAAAAGCTATGGTACAGTAATTATGTGGATGATAATAAACATTAATTTACATGTACCGTAGCGGAAATCCGCGCTATGCTGCCTTGTTCACTACGAGACAAACTACGCCATTTACAAATAAACAATAAGGTAGATAATAATAAAAACAAATAGATCAATCGATCATCGTCGCATCAATGTTCTAATGTGTAATATATTTGATATATCGTCGGTTAAATAGAAAAATGGATGCATTCGTATGCCGTACGAACAATTTGAGACGTCTATCCTCGTGCGCACAGCAAAAGAATGGAATAAGGAGGGTGAATGGGTATTTATTAAATTAGCGCGTACCATCCTTCGACCACATTACCATTTAACTATAGGGGGGTCGTGGTCAAGCGCTGATTTTAAAAATCATAAAAATAATTCAAAATGTCCATTTTTTCATTAAAAGTTTTTTTAAATGTAATTTTCCATATAATCGACGATATTCTTCAGCTATGCTGAAATCGGTGGTACAAGTGCGTATTAGTGTGAGTGGCTAGCGGTACATAGCGACTTCCGCGTTGCGGTAGAAGCACATGTAGGCGTCGGAGAGCAGCCGCTTGGAGTAGTTGAGCAGGCGCTCCTCGCACACCGCGCTGCGCGTGCGCTCGCTCCCCAGCCACTCGCCCAGCTCCGGCAGGCTCACGATCTCCGGGATGTTGTACCCGTTGCGTTCCCCTGACACCGGCAGCGCATTGCACTATACACAATACCTCCCCTCCCCACTCATAACATCCCACACCCCACAACTTAACCAGTCTTACAAATAAACGCGGTATAGAGTTAAACTTAGTATAAGCAAATATTAATCCAAATTTTCTTTATACTCAGTTTTTTCCTAAGTTTAACGTTATACCGCGTTTATTTCTAAGGCTGATCTAGTTAAACTTATCTAAAGGTTATCAAATCTTAACATCTCTGCTAAGCGCTGCTTACAATCTGACAGATGTGAAGATTTAAATGAAATTTGGATTTTAAGCTTGACTTCATTGACTTACATTTTTTTTTAATTTCATAATTTTCATGAATTCACCTGAATTCGCCGAGCGAAGCGATCGCTGCCCGTATATCTTACGTCCACAATTGCAAATGCCTACCCCTAATCAAAGAAAAAGATGACGCACACAAGGAGAATATGTACCGTTTCTATGCGTCCCCTCCACCGTCAAATCCAATTTACCTTTCCATCCTTTTTTTAACGAAGCTGAGGTTGTAAATTAAATGCAATAAAAAACTTAGTTGTAACCACAAAACATAAATTGCAATTTTTTTATGTCCATTAAACTATGAGATATCTAAATATGCTTTATTGCAATATTAGTAAATACTGACCTTTCCTGTCGGCCATGGAGTCAAAGAAGCACCAAGGCACGTCGTGTCCGCGGTCAGTTTTGACGAAGGCGACGTAATGGCTGGTCTCGATGCAGAGCACCGCGAACAGCTCCATGAACACTCGCGGACCCTCGAACGTTTCCAGCGATTCAATTGCTTCATCGCAAACATTTAGCGGACTGGCCTAAGAAACCATAATTGTTATTTATTTAGTTCAAATGCTAATGTATACCAATATTGTAAAGAGGAAAAGTTTGGATTTTTATATCAATTGAAATAAATCAAAAACTACGCCGATTTCAAAATTCCTTCCATCATTAAAATGATATGTTATCACTGAGTAACATAGGCTATATTTTTTTTAATCCCACGCGGACGAAGTCAGGAGCAACAGATAATAATTAAAAAGAGAATTTATCGTATTACAATGGTTCATAGGCCAATGTGACCATAGATGATAGAGATGATAATGAGTCAGGTCACGGTCACGGTGTGGCCGGGTGAGGGGTGTCGGTTGCCACACACTTAAAAATATTTAATTCATATAAATAGACCAATAAGACTAGGTACTACCCCCCATATCTCGCGTAATCATTAGCCAGGACCAACAGTCCTGATAAGGGACAAAGATTTTTATATGTTCGTAAGTGCTCTTGACTACGATCCCACTTGAAGAAAGTTATGGTTTGCCTTATTTTAAGTCCCCTACCCTATATTTACGCAAAATGTTTTAGTTAGCAATAAGATATCTATTTCCAGAGATGTGTGTAGGGGCGGGGG